GTGAAGCATAGGATGCAACTTCACTTGAAGGCGGTGTGAGAGGCTGTGACGATGAAGAGACTGATAATAAGTCATCGATCTTAATCCTTTTTGCTGCACTTCCACCTTGGTTATCTTGCAACTTGGACAGCCCAGGTGTTGCCGATCTTGGAATAGGCGTAACTCTAGTTGTGTCAGACGCTGAAGAAAACGGGCTTCCCCTATCTAGCCTCCTCTTCAATTCTGGCCTGTATGTTTGAGGTTCCAATATAGTTGCAGCAATGGGAATCTGAGGGTTAACAGACGCGTCAAGGCTCGGGTCGATTGATTGGTAATCATATGTCTCGCAGGAAGATGCCGGTGAACTTCCTGTGGAAATGGTCTGAGAGTAACTTTGACCACCTACTGATGAATCCGCAAGGTAAGACATTGAATACGCTGAAGCGATCAAACGGGGGTGTGAACCTGTGCTGGGAGCAGGCTGAATAGCTGCAGGTCCCGGTTGTGCTTTAAAGATGGGATCATATCCCAAGCAGTCTCTCTTGCTCTTTGCACAATTCTTGCACGATGGGTGTGCTTCGTCACACTGTGGAGCGATATAAAAAAGTTCACGTAAGTAAATGTTTCATTTAGAGCTCTTTGGTAGTTATGGATAGGGTAACTGCTTGTTCCGGAGTTTACCCGAGCAAATATTGAATAATATAATGATATGCGAAAATTGATTTGTGCGTACCTTTATTCTCCGCTTCCTGCAAGTCAAACAACCTGTTTTCGTCCTCCTTTTAATTTCCTTCTTATGCCTCCCACCAGACATGATACGCTCGTTATTTCCTACGGCTGGTAGCGGATACCTAAGAGTTTGATTTATAGGAGAAGAGGTGATATGGCTAGGATGAGTCAAAGCTGGAGGAGGAAGTCCTCCATGTTGAGGTAGTTGAGCATAGTACGAAATGGGTTGAGGAGACGGCTGTGGTAGCGGCGAACCCATCAAAGGGGAGCCAAGTGACGCCTGGGATGGGGGCGGTGGAAGAGGCTGAGAAGTAGCTGGTGGGTTCAGACGTATTGGTGGAAGGTTGAACGAAGGCAATTGTTGAGGTTGAGAGTAAGGAGATCCCCTTGGTCCTGGTTGTGGGGGGTATTGGTATGCGGACATTGAAGGCGAAGGGTAAGAGGAAGGCGATGGATACGATGTAGGTGTTGATCGAGCGGGAGCGGGAGCCTGCTGCTGTTGCTGCTGTTGCTGCATAGGGAGGGGAGCATACCGATACGGAGGTGAAGGTGTCGAGTGCGCTGAGGGGTGTTCTAGATGTTGGAGTAGTGGAGAACCACGAACGCTGCTCTGAGAATGAGAGTATGAGTGAGAGTGGTGGTGGGTGGGTCTATGGGCGTTGTGGGAATCGTATTCCACCATGATCATCTCGAATATCTTAAGAACCGATTCGTGTATCCTTTTGTTAATGGATGATGTTATTTGGACCAAGATCAAGCTGCAGCTCCGAGTATACAAACAAAAGACGGGTAGTGTGTAGACGACAAGAAAGAAGATGAATGGGGAGTGTGATGAAGTATATGTAAATGCCAGGGCTGAATGGCAGATCTAACGACAGGGGTGTGTGGGGGGGGAGGCGAGACTTTTTATGATGGCGAGATGGTGTGGGTGTGGTGGATGGTGGGTGGGTTTGGGTTAAAAGAAGGCTAGATGGATGGATGCAGAGAGGGCAGTGTGGGGAGACTATCTGTAGTGTCAACCCAGTTGTTAGCGAACGGCAATCCGGCGGGCCAAGCGGTTGGTGGCGGTCACGTTACGTTACGATGGGTTTTCTAAGAAGTTTCTAAGAAGGAGTGGTGGTTGTGCACACAGAAGAAAAGTTCGGATGGAGTAAAAGGAAGAAAAGAAGAAGATGGCGAAGATGAAGAGGGAGGAGAGAGGAAGAAGAGGGGGGGGGGGGGAGAGAGATAGGTGTTTGGATGATTGGCTAGTTTGCCGGTGGAAGTGGTCGTGGTGTACCTAGGGACGTTTGGGTAGGTAGGTTGAAGTTGTATGATGAGTGAGAGAGCAGTGACAGCCACAAGAGGAACTATCCGATACAGCACCCTAACAACGCGAGTGGAGCCTCGCGAGAAAAAAAAGAGGCTAAGGGAAAACGGCTGGGGTATATATGGAGACAGACGCGCCAACTGGGAAGCGGACAGGTCAGGGCGAACTCAAACTTACCAGGAAATGAACCGCACTCGGCTCAACGGCGGGTCAAGGGCCTTTGGTACCGAATTGGTTGTTGTCTAGAAACCTTCGAGAACTTTGAGGCACAAAAAAAAAATATCTAAAAGCAAAAAACGACCAATAAATAAAATAAAACAAAGTAGGCAGCTAAGGCACAGAGAAAAATACAAAAAATAGAGCGAGATAATGTAAGAGGGGGTGGGGAAGGGAAAAAAAAAAGGTAAAAGAACGGAAAAATTGATTTATGTGGGATAACAGTACTGTGCTGCGTTCAAGCGTGTACGTGCGTGAGTACGTGCTGAATGGTGGATGTGCGCGCGTGTGTTATGTGTGTGTGTGTGTGTGTGTGGAGAAATGGAAGGATGAATCGAAGGAAAAAAGAAGAATGTGAAATAGGCAAGGCAGGCAGCAATAGGCCGACCGGGTTAGATGGGAAGGTGGCACCGGGGGAGGTTTGTAGTAAGAGGTAAGTAAAGGAAGGGATCAGAGTAGGTTGTATTAATTCTACTAAATGCATTCTCAGCAGCACCACCAGCAAGTACTATTAAGTTACCGAGGAGGCGGCCAGAGGAGCGAGTTTCAACGCTGTACTTCCACTGGGATAAAAAGTAAAGTACATAATAACAGTTTCGATATGTATGTATTCCAGAAGAAGCAGAGCGGCAAGTAAAACCTCAACAAGTAAAGTACATGTATGTACCTACACGGGGTTACTACATGTATTTGTATACGTACAAAATAATTCAATTATTGACAGTCCCAGCGAAAGAAAATAAATTCATGAGAATACACACAAGTACTAGAGCTCGAGCTAGATGACGGACTCGAAGAGGCTCTGGGAAGATCGAGGGGCAGGATGAGTAGAGTATAGTAGCTCTTACTGGCACAAAAGATCTAGCTTGTGATTGAGTACATGTACAGTGACAGTGCCTCATTTTGTACAATAGGAACACAGCGGCAGATCCGAATGAACTGGGGCCGTGATGGCTCTTTCATAACTTTCTATATCTACCTCTAAAGTTTTGATGTAGTACTACTGTGTATATATTACGTCCGCACTTTCGTACACTTGTTTCTATATACCACTTTGCTGTACCTACATGGTATGTTTCTCTTAAAAGATCACAGGACGAGGCGGAAAAAAAAAAACCGTTGAACCGGAAGTACCTACATAACCTTGAAGCCCTAGACGGGAGGGCACAGACAGCAAGCGAGACGTAGGCCGTGAGTAAGTGGTTGAGCATGAGGGCCTCGTGGTCAGTAAGTATTCCTCCTGTATACTGGGCTGACTTTGATCCTATGAGAGCGGCTGTGGATAGAACATGAACCCGAAAATCAGATCAAAATAATGAATAATTGAGTGTATATACATACTGGAACTCGACACTCGTTTCTTTTCTCGTTCGTTCGGTAAGTCAACTTTGTAGTTGGCTCCCGTTCAGAGTGTTGCCTGCCCTACTGCACTGGTCGATGTGCGTGCGTGCGTTGTGTGCATGCCAGGAGTCTTTAATTCGTTGAAACCTACACGCGTGGTATCGATGAAATGATGGGCATTTGCCTTGAAGAAACTTAGAGCAAGGTACACAAAGTAAATGACAAGACAGGCCAGGATAACTGGCTGGAATGTGTTTGCCGTCTTCACGGTCTGCTGCGTGAACGTTCAAGCAAGTGGCAGTGATCGGTATGAAGGGTGAGGGTGGGGGTAGTGCTTTTGTGGTTCCACTCAGAATTCGAATTCCCCAGTCCCATTAAGCCAAATGAGGCGACACGGAGATTTGGGGTTGATAAATCAATTAATCTTTCGAGATTTCCTGTCTGTAGTGATCGATGATCAATCTGCAGCCGTGGAACTATAAACTTTCGAATACTGAAAGCAGAGTTTTTGTCCTAAAGCGCGCATTCTCTCATGCTGTATCCATACATACGTCCAGAGGTACATAAACAGTACGTGTCTGTCGAGTAGGAACAAGAATATTGAGTTTGCATAAGGTTGTGAATAATGTGGGGGCATGAACCCTTTTTCTCTACGTTGGGACAAGACTATGGGTAGGGGAGGGGAAATGCGGATGCTTGAGGATGTACAGATGGCCCATGGGATGCGTTAGGTAAAGGATCACTCAGTACAGATTGGCGAGAGGGGAGTGCAGAAGTAAGAGCGACACGGCTATGCATTTCGATACTGAACGGTCAGCGCCACCGTCGGTAAACCTTCCTGTGCCAAGTGCCCACACGAACACAAGTAGACATCGCCGAGAAACAAGTGTATTTATCCACTGCTCGCCGATGATTTAGGGGTGACCTTTAGAGATGAGCGCGTGTTTAGAGTAATTTCCAAACCTTCGAGATGCACGCCAGGAAATTAACTCTTCCATTTCTGGGGTGATGGATGATGACCTTAAAGACCTATAGGAGGCTGGCTAGCGGTGGTCATCAGTGCCCTTCATCAACATCACCGGTATATCATACATACTTGCATCTCAGGATTGCAAACACCTTCCTCTCTCTCCAACAACGATATTCCGCTCGCTGGTAGCGCTTGGGCGGTCTAGGCGGCTACATAAGATGCATCAGATATCAGGGCACCAGTTGCACTGAGTGAAAGAGCCTTGGGGGGGGGGGGGGGGGGGGTAGAAGCGTTCTAACGGCGGAGATGATACATCACCACACATCATATCAAAACAAACAAATAGATAATCGATTTTCCCTTTTTTATTTTATTTATTTGCGAGGCAGGTTGGCTCCCTTCATTATCGTGGCTGTATGCCCCAATGCACGTCGTCATCACCCTGCGTCAACTGAGATGTATCAGACTAAATTTGGCTCAAAGTCGCGAAGCGAAGCCACGGGTTCGCATCCTTCCATCCCACACGTCGGAGCCTTTCCATCCCTGACCATCGTCAGAGTCTGGTTCGATCAAGTGAGCCCCTCCTCCTCCTTCTCTTCCTCCTTCACCTTCCTTCTTTCTCCTCCTTGACCTTGACTGCCAGCTGGCATAAGCACTCGGTTTGTGATGTCCGGGAAGGAAGGAAGGAAAGAAGGGTGAACCATGGGAAAATTGTGCTTTTCAGTAAGTGTGTGGTAAGGTACCTAGTCTTTCAGTCAGTTAATTGCAAGCATCTTGGTGAAAAGAAGCCTCCTCTCCTTCTTGAGGGGAGGGGGTCGTCTGTCTACATCTGCCTACGTCTGTCTACGTCTGTCTACTGTGCTGCTGTTGACTATTCTGCATATATCGGCATCAGCACCTTTTCTTCTCGCCAAACGAATGGGAGCTTTCCCGGAATGCCCCCTGCTGGCAATTTGCCGAGGGAGCCTTCCGGAAAGTGTTGCCTTACTTGGTCTTCAGCCACCTGTTTGACACGGACCAGTGCATGACACATCTGCGGTATTCCCTGAACAGGAAACATTCTAGAAGAATGCCCCCAGATTTCTCTTGAAGGTCGGCTTTATTTGCTACTGGACAGACAACCGATGACTGCTTCTACTTTACAGCACTCATCCTGTCTGCCTACAAAATATCTTTTAATTCGTGGGCAAGAACATCTCCGGTCTTACGAAAATGCTGGCCAGTAGAATTAGTTCTGAAACATTCCCAATATCGACTCAACTTGGTTAGCACTATGCCAAGACCCACTAGTTTTTTGGCATAGACCATGTTCCTCACAGATTAATACGGTAGTTTTCCGAGCTACCGGTTACAGTGTCCTTCTCGAACGTTCGGGAGAAAGTATTAAGAGACAATTGGCCCTGCTTCGATTCGCAAACCTTAGAAATTCCCGGAGGCCCATACCCTAGTTCCCACCCCCCCAGCATCAAAATCACTTTGATGTAAGGAGGCTGTTTTGGCGAGATCTTCTTCAGATAAATTAATTGGCTCCTCGATACGTACCGCTCTTCCGCAGATTCTCGCGTGTATTTTTATCATGTCAAAGAATTATTTTATTTTTCCTCGGCCGGATATTTTTATTTAACCGAAGCGAATGCGCATGCCTAGATTGTGTTTTATCTGTTCAATTCCCATTGAACTCATCAACACCCTGGACCAGGATCCCTCTCTCTTATTTCTCTAATCACGATGGTTTCTGGCAGAGAGCATTCAGATGAGACTTTCCGCTCAAGCTTATCATCTATTGAAGAACCCCCGGTTGTGTGGTCCTGTATGTATAACTCGGGTCTCCACTATAAGTACAACAGGGTCCTCCCTATATCACGCCGGAGACTCTTGCCTGAGGTAGCTTTTGGTTGCTCTGAAACATGAAAACGGACACATATGCTATGGCGAAAAAGTATGGTTTCTAGTGGAGCAAGAAACGTTAACGTGGTCGGCGGGAGAGTTGGCGGCCTGACCGAAAAGCGAGTCTCTAGTCCCGATTCGAAAGTCTTGGGGGGAAATGATCAAGATTGCTTCTTTGTTTCTTAGTTGGATAATCAGGTTTTATAATTGCGTTGCCGTCCACTTTACCGTGCCTGTCATGTACCACAAAAACGTCCATAAGCGAAAGTTTTGTTAATCGGCGGGAGGGTCTCACTGCGTATCCTAGAAAGAATAGGAGGGAAAAAAATAATCCCGAAAGCGGAGGCGAACACTTTGCTTTTTGCCAGTCCGAATTGTGGGGGACAAGACATGATCTTTTTTACCGACCATCTTTCTGCTGTCTTTGCCGCCCCTTGCTCCGATCTGCCTGTCTGTCTCGTCGAAAAAAACTCATCGGCCGGGCGCACGAACCACAGGATCTCCTGCCAAGTTCAGTGGAAACAGGTACAAAAGCCCCCACTCGTCATTTTGGCGAGCCAGACGAGGAGTGCCAGCTCACACGAGAGCGCCGGATTTACGTCATCGTTTTCCGGCCTTGTGCAGCCCATGAAATCTCCTCACATTTACAACTGACTGACTAGATGAAAGGAAATAGGAGGGGAGAGGAAAAAAGTGGTTTTCATGAGTCCCATGGTTGCGGAATGTGGGCGAGTGACTGGATTTATGCCAGCCTCATCAACATCGACCTTCGGTGAATGGTTACTGTAGATTAACCTCACCCGATGAAAGCCGTTTGGAAATTGAACGAGAGAATAGAATCTCGATGTCGATAGATCATCGACATTTGCTCAACAGAAACAATAACAAAAAAAAATCAAAAAAGACAGCAGATTTCTCTCAGCCGAGTGGTTTGTTTTGCGAAGGCCCACTCGAAACAATTCAGCTCTCGTTTGATAAAAGCTGGGCCAGACTGTTAATGGCTGGCTGGCTAGTCTCCATTGTCGCCTGAAAAACTTTCCTTAGCGGTCATCTGAAATAAAATGGCCCTACACCACACCAAAAGGAAAGTCCACTCGGCAAGGAGGTGACCAGTCGATTAAGCAGAGACTGTGGAAGGGACCCCTGCGTGTTCAACGGAATGTCGTGCAGATTTACATTTCTTTGGGTCCGTTTCGTGTCACGCAAAAGAGGGTTCTGACCTATCAGATTATTTTCAGAAGGCGGCGAGCCTATGGAGCTGAAACACAGGCGAGCCCCGACAGGTGTAAGCGAAATTACGCGGGGGCTCTTATTTCTTTGCTGTCCCTTTATTTTTTGTTGCCTTTGCCCTTTCTTTTCCCTTTCATGACGCATGGGGAGTAAGTGAGCATGAGGTTAGTGGAAGAGGGGTTCAATGATCATGAGTTTATGGCCACCAGATGAGAGGGTGCGAAGAAATCCCAGGCAAAAGAGTCAGTCAGTCAAAGGAAGTAAAGTACCTAACTCACATGTATGTATGCAAGCCTGTTCATTTGATCGCGTGACAGACATACAAATCGCCACAGACGCATAGCCACTTTCCACACTTTGGTAGGAGGCACTCTGGGCGCAATGAACCTTGGTGGACAGATTTCATTTTACTCTTTTTTCTTCTGTCGAACAGATTCACAGTCTTGAAAAGTCACAGAGCTCGGGCAGGAACCCGAATAGATGTTCGAGCACTACATAACTTGTGCGGCGGCCGGAGAACCTTCGCAACGACCACCGCAACCTGCCATGTCGTGTGTCCTGTGCTCGGGGTCTAGCCCGTAGTTCCCCTACCGACTACATAGCCGACGGCCAAAAGGCGGCTAATCATCGAGCACGATTAGGTAATTTCGTTAAAGCAGCTTGCAAAAAAATTCACGCGAGCCGTCGAGCCGCTGCCCTACCGAACGGGACCAAAGCGCATTTTCGCTTTCTCGGGGATGCCTAGACTGGGGTTTGGCCGTTTTTTGTCTACATGTATGTACAGGCAGGTACTCTATGTAGAAATCATCGGGTGCAGTACCTATGATCTTCCTATCTATGGGTTCACTCTGGGCTAATAATCACATAATATGTGTAGTTTTATATAGGGATAATACTTCAGAGAGGGGCAAACAGTCTCGGTAACTACCACAGCTATACCTGCCGGGGGGTCTGGAACATGCATTCTTATAACTATGGGCGAATACTGGAATCAAAAGCATCAGTACCCCCGGTATATAGGATGAGGTTTTACTACTATCATTGCTGTCCAAAACGACATCTATTGGGAGAGAATGCGGTTCCATACAAATACCTGTTTATAGTCAGGATTAGTCTTCATAAAGGAAAGAAAGCACTTATCGACCCTTGCACAACCAATAAGTTGTCAACCATGCTCAAATTTCTCGCCCCGAGAGGCATGATCAATTGGCGTTTGAAGTACTAACGAATGAAGCCATGCCACTTGCAGCTAGAGGTATGGCGGGGAAACCTCAGTCAGCCTTCTAGGCCGGCGAAGAGCCAGGACGGCTAACGGGGGAACGTCAGAAACTTGGCTCGAAAACCTTAGGTGGAAAAAGGGCCCTTGCAAAGTCCCGTCAAGTCTAGGTATGCCACTAGACTCTTCTGTACTCGTAAGCTGCATCGGGGCTTCCACGGAATTTAATCCGCGTTCCGTGGAAGTTCCGTGCAGCCAAGGTTAATTCTCGTGAATCTGGTCTTGATCTTGAACTCGGGAGATGCTGGAGATCAACATGGAATGGTCAATGCAGTGGGGATTAAAATCTGCATCTGGTCTGGTCAGGGTTCCACGTTTCCCCCCTTCTCTTGCAAGACCCTGAGAGGAGGCGGAAATGATTTTTGAGCAAAAAAAGGGTCTGCTGACGATGGCGAATTGATATCGCCGAATAACTAAATGCTAAACACGCATCTCCAAGGGAGTTTCCCGTCAATCAAATTCTGGAGCACGACCGGTATCTCTCGCCGAATCTTCTTCCCTTAGGAGGGATTGCTTTCCGGACAGACCTGCAAAAATCCATTGCTGCATGCATACAATATGAACCACCCCCTAGCTCACGATACTGTACATTAATAGGTCGAAACCAACTTAAAACCACTTTTTATAAGCTTGCTAATATATTCAGGGTAAGGGAGGAAAGAAAAAAATATGGTTTCTTACTGGACAACAATACCTAATCCTCGTATCATGTTTTAGAAAAAAAACTGCATGATATAGTATGAAGTAAGCAGGCTAGACTGTCAAACACCTAAAAGGACACCGGTGGCACGGACAGCCACGGGTCGAAAAGAAGACAGGCATATGTATGTACATGTATGTACTCTAAATGAATACTTCAACATGATCTGACGATCCATAGAGTGTATGTACACACATCTACATACATGTATTCGGAAAGTATAAAACAAACTTATATGCGCACGCATTTACTCGGTAAAGCAAGGCCATAAATTACTCATTACTCGGCCGCGGACATATATGAGTAGAGTAGATGGATGATTTATGGATCTACGGCCATTGCTGATCTGAGAGGCCTCAAATCAAGCCGCCGGTCTATAATGGTTGATATTTATGCAGTGCTGCTGCTGCACAGATAGACTAGCCCTCATATTACAGTCCATGGATCCCTATGGATGGATGGTCATTGGTGCAAACTCTACTGCCACCACTACAACTACCACATACACAAGGCAACAGTACCGGAATATTATATTACATTGTCCCTCTACGGCGTACCTACTGCGAACGGGCCTTCCCATGGCACGACGTCGCTGTCCTGGCCTGATGTTTGATGTTTTTTTATTTTTAATTTTAATTTTTATTTATTTTTATTTTTTTATTTTTTTATTTTTATTAATTTTTATTTATTTTTCATGACACTCAGGAACTAGACGATAATGCAATGTAGCTGGCAAATTTAATTGTCAAAGTAAACCCCACCATCGATCTTGTTTATTATGTGCGCACATGCACGCACACATATGTAGTCTAGAGTAGACTGAAGGACGTACAAGGCACATGGCGCACATATCCGGCTCCTTTTTTTTCATTTTATGTTTTCTTATTTTTCTTTCCAAACAGGAACTGTGGATCTTCATGCTAACCATACCTAGGCCAACTTTGGTACCGGGATGTCTCTCTTTGAAAATAGAGTGTAATAGGTATTCCGCATATGTACCTGCTGTTTCCATATCAATGCGCGCTTAGATACATGATCGATAAGCCTCTAGGAGGAGTGTAACCGCCGTCACTACATATGTATTACCACCACCACTACCACCGCCAACCGACTGACTAGGTAAAGTAGCTACCTAGTCATCTTTGTATGTCCTTCCCCTGCCTGGCCGGAGGGGTAAGGAAAACCCGGGGAAATGCAAACGAGAAAAACGTGCGACCCCCGTCGATTGTCATCCGAGCCTCGTTTCTGGAAGAGTGTGATAAGATGGCGGTGGAGGACGTGGTGATGCGGAACGATTACGTACGTCGAGATATGGACTGGTGGTATACAACCTATCGCTAGCCATATGATGTACCTTGATAGCTGAGATTAGATAGATAGGTAACTACCATGAGTGATATATGTAGAGTAAAGACCCCTCCCATGTGATTTCGGTGCTGGGTTTTTTATTTCCCGACTAGGGATTCCACAGGGTTTCCAGAAATGTTGTCTGCTGCACTGAAGTCGAAACACCCCTCCCTAATTCATGGGTTCGCATCCATTGCAAATTTCGATACCGAGTGAGTAATGCCTATGGCGATCTATGATGTTATCTAGATGTGAATCAAAGGCGGGTACTTAAATCTGAAACAAGTCGCTAAGGTTTCAAGTTATGTGCAATATATGCCAATTGATAGAAATCACTTTTTTCTTTTCTTTGCATAGATACATACTTTTTGACTGAGCTCGTGATGGTGATCTAAGATATGTACCAGCCCCAAGATCTTTGGGATAGCCAACTCATCGGCGTCGGTGAGAAGGCGCGCATTGAGTTCGGTAACTGAGAGACCAGCAGGCTGTGATACACAGAAGTAAGTAGTCCATCCCGACAAATTTATGGCTCCCAACATAGGTAGGTTTGTGGTAACGTCGGTAATCAAAGTAGTCCTCATGATGATTGTTGATATCTCGTTTCTTGTGAAACGGCGCCTTTGTAACAAGAGGTGATTCCCCGAAGAAGCATATTGATGACAACTGGCACCCGAGTTTCATATTCTAGCAGCCAAAAATAAAATACAAAACAGCATCGTATTCTCCCCAGGATTCCGTCGCCTAGAAGTTGCGCGCAATTAAGTCCGAGTGACGGCCATGATTCCATATAAATCGGTGAGACACTCGGGTTTTCCGCAATCCATGAGTGACAATATGGTTATTGAATTGCGCATTGGCACGTCATCGCAGCCATATACAACGCTATATTGCAAGGTATCGTAAGTCAAGTGTTCCTTAAACCACCTGATTCCTCCTCCGTGTTGCTCCTGAAGTGTTTTCGATCTTTAGATGAACAAAAAGAAAAATCCCGCTGTCGTGCTAGCCCGGGCTGATACACGCATAGTTTCTCTGCACGGGAAATTTATTGTTGTTGAGGTGGCGCCTCTCATGATGTGCACCTGGAGACCCATGACTTTTCGATCAATCATTTAGGTACTCCATCGTATCTTGAAACTCGCCTTGTCACCCTCGTCGATGTGTCTGTCGTCAGCAAAGTGGCCGATCCAGGGCGATTGGACAAAGAGTGCGGTATGAGCCATGCCGGTCCCATTGGTAATCGGAATCCTGGGATTTGATACGCTTCCGCCAGGTGATGTCCGATGCCAAAGCAGGAGAATGCTGGTAAAACATATCCAGTGCCAGTTATTTGGATATATTGATGCCTTGTGTATACTGGCATCGATCGAACCTCATCAAGTCCCGACAGCTAATGTCAGTCATGCCGTTAATCAATTTCTCAAATCCACTATTATGATTGACCTCGATATCCACGTCAGGTTATTAACTTGACCTGGTTAACCTGGTATATGTTTCCACCACGCCGTCGGGGCCGGGTATCTAAGCTATCGAAAACTGACGCTGCCACTGGCATTACCGATATTTCTTGCTTTTTTGAGTTGAATGGTCACCATACCATCTTACCCCACAAGATGGAGGCAGTGTGCACCTTAAATAGACCCAATCACAACCGATATGCACTGATATCAGAAAATGGATAAGGATATGCAAGCATTAGACCATACAATCCATCAAAGAAAAACGAGCCAATCTGACGCAACCGATGGCCGGTGCCGTGGTGTAGGTATACATGATTTGATACCAATGCAGAACTCTTTTCTAGAAGACATACTAAGAGCTGATCAATAAAAAGCAATAAAAGCCTATGAGAATATCTTCAGTCTTCACGATGGCCCGGTCGCCGTAAAACTTCTGGAAAGACCTCTAGCTCATCATCTGACATCAGCGCCAGGTAGGCGTTACTTTGTAGATTGGTAATATTTAAAACTGTCTGTTTGCCTGTTCTGCTGCGATGAACTGGTCGCTTTCGAGTTGCCCTGCATGCAAGTATTTTGACATAGCCCCGGAAGCCGATGTTAGCGTTCGGACTTATATATCTGAAAACAAATACATGGCCTAGGTTTCCCTTCGCCTAAGACTGTTCCTGACAGGGCCAAGCATGTCAGAACCGTATTCATCCTATCCTGGGGGGCGGAATCGGTGGTTCCTACATAGGATTCTCCGGTCAACATGTCACTGCCCCGTCCAACCAAAGTTATGATCACTCGGCAACCAATCGAAGCTGTTTCGTACCTTTTTTATTACCTAAGCACCGGAGTAAAAACCGAGCCCCCTTAGGAACTTTATTTTGAGATCCTGGAGTTCCTTGACTAGAGAACTACGTTACTTGTAAAGTTTGCAGGCTATTCCGAATTACGCTCTGTTGATGCAAAGACCTTGTATAGCCACCGTAACCGTGAAGTCCAAAGGCATGCGGCTATCCTGAGACAGAAACTATCTGGGTACGTTTTCCTTAGCCACACACAGCTCTGCAAGGCGGAACCGTTTGATTTGAAGTGGCCACAATAGAACATGGCCTTATCCTCACGATAAATCATTCCTCTCGGTAATGGGCTATGTCATCATCGAGGAACGCCTGTGCCCAACATAGACCATGGAGGCAGCGGTTTCCAACTCAATTTAGTCTTGAATCTGTCGCTCTTTTCCTTCTGTAACATGGTGATGGTCGATTGGGTTAGAATTTGTTCGTGTGAGGAAGGAGGTGACGTTGATTTGTAGCTTACTTGCGGCTCAAGCCACCAGGCCTAAAGATCACGTTTACCCCTGAAGGCCAGTTCTTTCAGCGATCTGCATCGTGTTCGGTACGAAAATGGAGCTTCCCAATCTTAAGAATCTTCAAAGCAAGGATGGATTCATTTCTTTGTTGTTTTTGGGGTACATACGTGCAAGCTGGGAAATGGAGGTGGTGGTACTTGCCGCGGTTGCAGGAAGTGACGAAGGCCAGGAACATTGTCGTTATGACGTCATGCCGCTACTTCCAGCATATCATCCTTCCTCCTTAACTTCTTTATCTATGCCTGATCCCCTTTCCTGAACAAATCAATTACAGTTCGAACAAACTTTGCGCCTTGCGAAGAGACTCCTCATTTTGCGACTTGACAATCATCAAAAAGCACAGTCAGACAACAATCAGTTATCACATATTCGCAATGGATGTTTATTACTATTTCAACTACCGTATGTTTCAAACGTCACATGTTTATCGCAAGACTCTATTTTCTGTGCAACTTGATGCTGATGATACCAAAAACCACAGTCTCGGCGGGCTGGATGATGCTTGAGTCAATTCCCCTGATCGCATCACCCACAGTCATCATCACGATGCTTTCACCAGATGTTCGGGAAACCACACGTACGTTATTTTCCCCAGCCTTGCTTGCTACTGCTACCTTGACCGATCGGATGAGTCGCTAACACAATGACTGTTGCAAAAAAAAATAGAGCTCGAAGCATATCTCTCGCGTTCATTGGGTTTCACATTGATCGCATTCTCGATTTTAAACCTTCTCCTAACCGGAAGTGTACCACTAGTTGTAAGTACATCTTAGCTCCTGACGTGATCTTAAACGACCCACCAAAACCAAAATTGCTAATGACATGCGCGCACCCAGTCGAGCTTCTCTGAAACAGCCGTAGCGAAACCGGCAGGCACAGACATGGAGGATCCCACAGCACCGTACGCGGTGCCCTCGCTGTGTGTAACTCTAACGTATCATCTCACTGTGGCGTTCTATTGTTACACACAATGGGACAGTGGGTACTCTGCTGCTTACGCCGTTGCTATGGTTATGCACTCGCTGTTTAGTGCTCTTGGAGCATGGGTGTTGTTGTTTGGAAGCACTAGTGGACGCATCTCGAGGAAGACTGGCGCCGATAAGAGGACGAGCGGATTCCCGTTTAAGAATGTCGAGGCCGAGAAGAAGAAGTCCGGGAAGAAGTCGCTGTGACTCAGATCGGGGAAGAAGAACAGGCCTCATTCCAGTAGCTATAGAGATATCTAAACGAGCAGGAGGAGGAGGTGGATTTATTCATAGTGTCACGATTCCCTTTGTTGAGTTAGTTTCCTTTTTTGTGTTTTCGTTTTTGCTTCCTTTTATGTGGTTACGATGGGGTTCCTTTGGCATTGTTATGTGAGTTTTATGTCCATGAGGATTCAATTGCAGACTGCTTCTCCCTTTAAACTCCGTTGTCCAGAGTGAAAACAACTGCGCACAGACCAACTGCACCGCGGGTATGTAGATCACAAGGATGACCTCATAAACCGGGTTCGGGGATTATACCTTCCGAGTGAGAACCCATGAAGGAATATATTCGAGAAGTTCTAGAGGAAACGTCCAAATAAGCATACGAAGTCAGTATTTAGTAACAGGTATGCTAATTACAAATGACGCAAAGAATTGGGCCACTCTTCAACTCGTGGCTAAGTACCGCACCTCACTGCAGAAAGCTGTTATTGTCGATAGATGAAGACATTGTATAAAGACAACTAGCTCAGAGTAGTTAAGGAACACATATATAGCTAGACCTGTACCTATAAATAAATAGAGAGAGAGGACCGAGACCTGAATAGATTTCAGTAACTACATCACTATGCTGTGCCTATTTCACCATCAAGAACGCCCTTACTTCCCAACTATCTAATGGGATTTATTCATTGCAATTGCAATTGCATGTATGGTCCGCCATCTCATATTATCAACCATCATGGCCAGTTACCCAGACCCAATTATACCAACAAAGCTTCAAAATACACACTCAAACCCCATCTCAGGAACTAGATCTATATATTCGACAGGCACACCGCTCCACTCGATCTTAACCTGGAATTCCATCATCTGGACTTGAGCTTGTCGTAACCACACCACGCAGGTACATATGTACTAGTATTCAATTCAGAATCAAAAAGTCCTGATCTGATCTGCTCTAATTGCGTCCGTCGAACACTACAAGTACTTAGTATTTACAACAATCGCACCTGCCCACCAAGGTAAAAATACAAGAAAATAATAGAAAAGAAAAAAGAATAGCATGTAAAGGCTAACAGAGGAGAAGAGTTGGCGTAAAACATCATGCAGCGCAGCGAGTCCCCCCGGCCACCAGGAGGATTTTAGAGAAAACAAGGAGTCTAACAAATAACAGACCGGAAAGTATTTACACAGAAGGAAATAGAACCCCCTCACCACCCAGCATTCACCGCGGAGTATAAAAAACAAACAGATATGGACTTTTCGGCAACCCCTAAACAAAGAAGACCCTTTTTTGCGCGAGATGGAAGAAAATGCACACACAGCCATTAGATTAAATAAAGTCCCTCGCGCTCTTCTGCAGCTCAATCAGTCTCCACCCATTGGTCTCCGGGTTGGCCACCTCATCCGGTAGCCTCGTGATGCCAATTGCATAGGTAACCTGCTGCACCTTATCCTCCATGCCGGCCCTCAACTCGCTCGTCTTCAGGTCGCGGAAAACATGCACCTCCTGCGTCCTACACGACACAATAAACACTGGCACCTCTCCGGGGTCTAGGATACGCGCAGAGAGGATATCCACATTCCTGATATCCAGCACCTTCCCATCCAGCTTCAGCCCATTCACCGTGTACTGCTGGTTCAGCGCCGCATACACATTGAACTGCGCGGCGCTGAGCCAGGCTTTGAGGACCTCGCTCTCGCCCTTGAGGTAGGCGTCGAGCACCTCTGGGAGGATGTATTCGCGCAACTCGCGCAGGAAGGGCTCGAGCTGGAAGTTGGGGTCCATTTCGCGGAACTTGCGGATTACCTGGGCGGTCTCGTTTTCGGCAAAGAAGCCGGCGAAGCGGTCGGCGATGTTGCGGGTCACGGAGATGACGGGGTTCTCGGATTCCTCGTAGGTGCGCTTCACCGAGAAGAGGGATTGCATCAGTTTGTTGCTGTCGCGGAACTCGCGCCAGGATTCTTTCCAGGCGGCGTCTTTGTGGAGAGTGACGTTTGTGCCGGCTCTACGGGGGAGGAGAAGGAGAGTGGTTAATACCGTGCCTGCCCGGAGGATTTGGTGGTACTTACTCGGGGTCTTCTTCCATCTTCTCGGCCCTCTTGACACCGCCCTTCAGTTCCCGCAGCTCACGCTGCTTCTTCCGCTCCTCACGCTCCAGGTACCCACCGTACCGGGAACTGGCGCCATCATCAATGACCTCCTCCACATTCTGCTTGATATCCTTATATACCTTCGTGTCCCTCACCGGCTTCGTCACCGCCGCCACGCCCTCTCCCGTGGCGCGCGCCGCAGCCCTTCCCGCCTTCACCACCGGCGTCTCCCACGTCCACGCCGCACCCTTCCCAATTGCAACCGCCGTCTTTCCCAGCGTTTTTGCCGTCTTCTCACCAACCTTGCCCGCAACCTCCGCGGTGCTCCCGTATGCCTGGCGCGCCTTCTGGACCGCCGGAGACTCGCTGAACTGCTGCGCGGACTCTCCTAGCTGCTTGGTCGACTCTTGCCACTCTTGCGACTTTTTGAACTCGGTCTGCAGCGTCTCGTAGAAGACGGCGAAGGGCGATTTGTCGCCGTGTGGAGGCGGTGGTGGGGGGGCTTCCTCCTCCTTCTTCTTGTCGTCGGAGTCCTTATCCTCCTTGTCTTCCTTGTCCTCCTTGTCCTCCTTGGTGGATGATTCTTCGCCCTTGGACTCCTTCTCGGACTTTGTGTCGTCGTCGTCATCCTTCTTCTTCGGCTTGTCCTTGTCCGCCCACCGCCCGCCCAGCGTCGAGAACTCGCTCCGCAGCACAATCGGCCGGTGCACCACGGGGAGTGCTGAGACACGGTGTGTGCTTGCGTTTGCGTGGAGGCTGGTAGCTATTCGCTGGTTCCCGCCGATCCGGGAGCTGGCCGTCGCTGCCGTCCGAGCAGCATTGAGACGGATGATTCCCCGGCAGGCAGATTGCATTGTGGTGGTGGTGGTGGTGGTGGTGGTGAGTTGCGGTGGGTGAGTGTGTGTGTGTGGTGGGAGAGGTTGTGGTGGTGAGGAAGGGAAGACGAAGCTGGCTGGCTGGCTGGTGGCGGGGGGGGGGGAGGGACAGTTTTTTTTTCGGGCGGAAAATTGGTTGTAATTCTGGCTGGATCCGAGGGTTTGACGGGTCCGGTTACCCGGCGGAGAGAACAGAGCGAAGAAGAAGAAGAAGAAGAGGGGCCGGGCCGGGGTTGCGTTCGGGATTGGAGATCAAGGTGCGGGGGGGCTGGATAGATGCGTCGGCGGTGGGGCTGCGGGGGGGGGAGAGAGATGTGTTTGGGTAGCAATTATAATTATATACATGATAGTTTATGTATTTATTAATTGTAGATGCATCACGTTCACTTGTTATTCTTCCAGTTATACTCTATACAGATTGATATAGACATTAATGTGCACTTCATGAGCCATCGCTCCTCTCTGCCGATCTCCCATATTAATATTATTGTTCCCACTCCGACCCGGCTGCCCGGGTTCTGCCACTCTGCACGCACGCACGACAGGCGACATCTCTCACTTCACCTCCCAGCAGCCAGATGCCCCACTCTAGCTCTCGTTACCCGGCCTCGCCCAGCTAGCTACAACGCACACACACACAACATGTAGCTACATGCATGTATACTACATGTAGTCCAGCTATATCCCAACAGCCCCCAGGCTCTCAAAGTTACATATACTTACCCAACCACACACAACAAGAGATGGAGCCCGAATTCCACATAAACCAGCGCCTCTCCTTCACCCCGGGCCAGGCCTACACCGCCGCGCGCTGCACCGTCCGCTACTCCGGCCCCGTCGACGGCACAACCGGCACCTGGCTCGGCGTTGAGTGGGACGTCGAGGGCAAAGGAAAACACTCTGGCGTGCACGGCGGGAAGGAGTACTTCAAATGTCCGTTCCCTACCTCCCGAGTGCTAGCTAGCTCATGACTCACCAACCAACCAACCAACCAACCAACTGACTGACACGCAACAAACAGGCAAAGCACCCGGCAACGCATCCTTCATCCGCACCACCCGCCGCCCCGACGATACACTGAGCTTTCTCGAGGGCCTGCGGCGGAAATACACGACGGCCGACGACCCGCCGGATGCACATGCGGTGCTGTCGCTCACCGCCAACAAGGTGTTTGAGGAGGTGGGCTTCGAGAAGATACAGAAGAAGCTGGGGCAGCTGAAGGAGCTGAAGATTGTCATTCTGGATGGCCTGTGTTTGGCGAGGGCCGACGCGGCGGGGGAGATTGCCGAGACGTGTCCTAGTGAGTTTGACTTCTGGTCTTTTTTGTGGGGACAGAGGGAGTGGGGGGGGTGCTGATGCGGAGGGGAGACAGAGATTGAGGAGCTGGATTTGAGCAGGAATTTGTTTGAGGACTTGCAGACGGTTGCGAGTATCTGTGCAGCGCTGCCGCACTTGAGGTCCTTGAAGATTAGGTGTGTGTTGTTTGGTGGGTGTTTTAGTTATTGGTTTTTTTTTGTCGCTGACTGCAGCAGTGGAAACCGCTTCTCGTCACTAGAAGTCGAGAGAGTGCCCGGCCAGCCATCCCCGTTTGAAGGCGTGACATCGCTGGAAATCAGCAATACCTATCTCACCTGGGACGAGGTCAGTCACCCGCCTATTCAGTACATACTCGGGGGGGAAGAAAGTCACATGCTGATCATTACCACTCACAGACAACGCAAATCCTCACCCACTTCCCAAACATCCAGACGCTTGAGTCGTCACTAAACCGCATCTCCACCATCCCCGCTAACATCTCCCTCCCGCCCACAATCACAACCCTCAACCTCGAGCGCAACACCTTCACATCCCTCACCGCCGTGCTCCCACTCACATCCCTGCCGGCGCTGTCACGCCTAATCCTTGCCCACAACCTCATCACCGCCATCCTCGACCCCGCCTCAGAAACGACTCCCCCAACACAGGCGTTTAAAACACTAACCCACCTAGACCTAACCTACAACCACCTCCCCACCTTCCCGCACCTTGACGCACTTCCGCAGCTCTTCCCACAGCTGACGTCAATCCGCCTCTCCCACAACCCTTTCTACTCCCTTCTCCCCCGCGAGGAGGCACACATGCTCACCCTCGCGCGACTCCCCGAACATGTCTCGATGCTGAACCATACCCGCGTCTTACCGGCGGAAAGGCAGAACGCGGAGATGTACTACCTGGGCCGCATTGCGAAGGAGCTGGCGGCCGTGGGGGAGACTGAGGAGGAGGAGGTGCTCCGACGGCATGGCAGATGGGGGGTATTGTGTGAGCGTGAGTATTTTCCTGACGTTGCTGCTTTTTGGCGTGGGGGAGAGAGGGCTGATGGAGGAGGGTAGTGTATGGCGCACCGCGGATAGATCGCGCCACGGCACTGGAAAAGCGGTGTTTGGGCGCGCGGCTGGTAAAGGTTGAGTTTGTTAATGGAGAGAAGAAAGTGGTGAGGGGGGTGCCGAGGGGGATGGCGGTGTCGACAGTGAGGGCGTTGGTGGCGAGGTGGTTTGGGGTGGAGCCGTTGGGGGTGGGATTGTGGCTTTTGGTGGATGGGGAGGAGGGAGGGGAGGGGGCGAGGGTCGCGTTAGAGGATGGGGTGAGGGAGCTGGGGTATTATGTCGAGGGGAAGGAGGGGACGGTGTTAGTGGGGGCGTAGATACCTTCTCTTCCGAGTGTCTCTTCTCCGCGCTTTAGATCAGGTAGATTAGGCAGTTAGTCTCTCTGGGCGGCCACTGATAGTTGCTATGAGCATCCCGCCCATGTACTCCACACGTTCTCCCCATAGATATTCCAAGCACCATTATTCCCCACCCCCAACCCCTCGCCACCCACATCCAAACCATACCCAAGCCACAGTCAACCAAAGTATCCCGAAAAGGGCTAGCCAAGACCGAGTGATAATTCATGCACCAACACACTCGCTGCTCAATTGTAGGCCATAGACGGTGTATGCTCTTCATAGTAGTGAAATCGCGCCCGGTGTAGTAGGGGGCGGCTGTTGGCTGGAGGTTGTGGTGTTGTGATGGAACCTTTAGCTCTAGGCCGATAGATTTTAGCGATGTAGTAGATCAACACCTTCTTCATCTCTGCATAGCCTCCGTATCTCCCATGGAGATATTCGGGTGATTGTATGCCATAACCCACTACCATTCATAAAACAAGTCCCACTTCCACTTCCACTTCCACCACGCGCCATGTAAGTCGTAATTAACATCATGATCCATCACTCGACATGCCCGAGATCACCCGAGATCTCCTGACCCATATATGACCACCAACGAGGCAGACAGAAATAATGGAACCACAAGGACCAGCATTGAAGATTGAGGCGTGCCCGGGCGTGTCCGGGCGCTAATCTTCGGAGCGGGCCTACGCGGGCTGTGGTACGTGCTGGCCCCCCTTGCGTGATTACTTCGTATTCTCGGGTGGCTTCTTGAATCGGCTACCGCCGGTCTTTCGGTGGCGGGAGCGTCCGCTTGCAGGTTTGCTAGGTGGCCAAGGTACGTTCGAGTTTGGGTATCGTTTGGCACCCTTATAGCCAGTAAATAAAAAAACCAAATATCAGTAATCGAGAATTACTATCGGGGTAGAAGGAAGAATCTTACAGCAAGTCTTGCCGTATACAGTATACGCACCGTCCTCTAGCCGCAGGCCCATTACCAGCCCCTCGCTTCGATCTGCGCGCCGTTGGCGAGTTCGCGTCTGTTGATTGGCTTCCCGTTGTGTTCGGGCGCCCGATCATGCTTGTGTTGACAGAGCTAGGCGGATCGGTTCTGATTTATTGATTGATTACATGTAGTGTATGCAGCCCGCAGGCCATGACACTCGGTCGTATGGATGCGTCGGTAATAGGGAAGGTACTTGGGTGTGGTGCTTGTCTGCGCGGCATCTTTGAGCGCTGTGTAATAGGCTACTCCGCATCTTGACTGGTGAGTTGTACCCATAGAATATGAGTACATAGGAGATGAGTGGAAGGAGAAGAGTCTCGGAAGCCGAACCAATCCTCTCCTTTTATACTTGCTGCGTAATGGCACTCTGTCGCCATGATCTCGTCACAATTATATACCGCTTGTTGTCTCGACGCTGGAGACAGGTTGTCAATAGAGAGAATTTGCTGACTATCATTTTCGACAATTGACACATTGACAACTCCCTGATCATGATCAATAATGGCCAAATAAATCGGGTCTATATATCAGGATCGAAGTCATAGAAACTCTATGAATCAAATAGCCGCCTATCACGCTAGTACCTGTGAAGCTTAGCCCCACGAGTACGCCCTCAATTGTCGAAATTGACAGTTAGCAGGTGCCCTCTATTCAGTACCAGCTGCATATACGTACCCACTACCATAAATGCATACATACAACGCCTTACGCCCTGGAAGCTTTTGTTCTGCGCGGGTAACTGCATGTAGTAAACGAAAGAAAATGAAACCGTGACGTTACGTCACGTAACCTTAGAGCTAGAACCTCCATCATAGTATATCACTCGCTAATCCTCGCTGACTAATCTACAAACGCTCTTTTACAAGTTCGTGAAGCAAACAAACATCTTCAAACAACCATCGCTTTGATGTTTTGAAACCAAGTTTTGTGGAAGCTATAAGTTACAAACACCCTCTCTTTCTCTCTACTCTCTTTTCCCTCTCTAGTTACGTACAACAAACACACTTTACGCCACGAACAAAAAATCTTGAATACGGAACTCATGAGTGCGCGAGGTCGGAAGAAGGTACTGTTCGTGAGGACGAGATACAGGACAAGGGGGTTCAGCCCGCCGCCTTCGCCCCTGGGCCCGGCAGATGGTGAGACTAGCGCTGGCACTGATCATGGTACTGATACTGCTGACCCTACACTTCCATCGCCAGCTGTCGTTGAAGCTGGGGCCAGACCTGGGGTTAGCCCCGGGGCTGAAGAAGCGGTGTCCATTTCAAAATCTGCAGCCGCCGACGCAACAGCAGAGGGGGACATCGCCGCGGAAACGCTCGGGCCAATATCCACCAAGCGAGGAGGAGTCGAAGAGGAACCCAGCAGTTCGGGCGAACCCATTGCTTATATACATGTAGCTGGCACTGCATCACCTCGGGCCATATCCCCTGCCACTCCCGCACCTGCAGCACCAGGAGTATATAGAGCTGGAAGAACCCGCGCTGGTACCTGCATGTACTCACACTCATCTCCCATTCGCCCGCTCATGGACTCCGACTCTGGCCCCAGCACAGACCCCATATCGGCCGCGGACGCCGCGCTGATTGAGATCTCGAACCACAACTTTTTCACCCGTCACCGCATCCACGAAGCCGCTGTCGCGCACCAGGTCGCGTGCGAGATTGCTTTGGAGCGTGTGAAGCAGCATCAGAGGCTCGGCACACGCCCTGACGACTGGGATGAGGATCTGGCGCTGGAGGGACTGCCGCCGGTGCAGAGATGGAAGAAGAGGCCTGGGCCTGGGGATGGGCTCGAGGAGAAGGAGAATGAACGCTGATTGACCGCCAGACGTAGGCGAGTGACGGGTTGTGAAGGAGCCCCTGTTTCATCGCATTGTTTCATGATGCCCGTGGGGGAATGAAAAGTGTCAAAAAGTAGTGCAGTTTGAAATTCGACCAAGAGATCTGGGAACGCTAAGCCGCCTGCAGGAAAGGGTGAATTGATTGATCATTGATTGATCCTTTGAGTAGGAAAAGTTAGTTCGAGATCGGTTGGAGAGGAAAAAGAAAGACATATAAAAAAAGCATATAAGAAGACAACATCGTCGTCACGTAATCTTGACAAAAACCATTTACATTTCACAAGCCCGTAAATCTATAGAAGGAGGAGCTTCTCACGAACCACACACTCTTATAACTTTTATAGAAAACAGCTTAGATAGTAATTAGGATATTAAATATAGATTACATAATTTTAGGTAAGCCCCCACCAGCTCCCTCGGCCCCGCACGTATTATCCCTTGGACGGATGAAAGTTGTCAAATGCGCGACCACACTCTTTCAGCTATCACTAGCTTAATATGGCAATTGTTCGAAATTCTTGATTGGCTCTGTTGTTATTGCCAACCGTAAAAAGCAAGATAATTCCCTTACTAAGTGGTGCACGGTCCAGGTCGCGAATTTGACAACTTTCATCCGTCCAAGGGATAATATGTTGATATGGGAATTAATGCGTGCTATAAGCCTGACCTGACCTGAACCCGCGAGCGTCTCATTTAAAAGCATGTTCCTGACTTCCCACAGACTGAGTCATGTTTCAGTCAATAGCAGAAGGTCTGATATAAGGCGAAATTCCAAAAGGCATTGTATCGTAACCTATTCGCGATTACCGCCAACGATGATCGAAAATGCCAGCTCACGATGCATAACTGTATTTTTCCCCCAAGGCAAATACGTATCTCAAGCGTGGAAATTTTTTTCCCGTGGCGTGAATGGGGGGTACTCATTAGTTGATTTTATTATATATCCGTGCATATTGGCGCACATGTACATGCAGCCGATCTCCCCATGAATCGTAAACATATAGAAACACTTAGAAAAACTCTTTGATTGATAGAGGATTCCTTCTGAAATTACTGTGCTTGGTTCAAGCTCGATAATCATAGCTTGAGGTAAAATTATTGTAGAAGTATGGGGAAAGTCCTGGCCGATCGCGAGTCAACCACCTAAACCCTGTTTCTAGACCTCTGTAATTTCTATAACAATTCTACCTCTCGAGATCTCGCTGTACGAGATTTTTCATTTCCGGAACCGCCAATCACGAGAGATGATCAGTAAACACCTAACCACATGCTATTAAGGGGCCCGGGGTGCATCGATATCCGCAATACTGGCCAAAACCGGGAACATCGATATAGACAGTGCTTATGCGTGATATCATGATGGCTGGGTTAAGGTATGTGTGCGCTGCGATATCCAACAGACTAGTCTGCATGCTAGCACGGCCCAGCCTGGTGGCCAGGCCAGCCATGAGATTAATAGTCATACCATGCTTTAAAGAATGAGTGCACACACATCTGTGTACATGACCTTGTGGAGCGTCAGCTCACTAATACAGGGCATGACCTGCCCCGAGTTAACATCACCATAACCTTGTGAGGTGATCCTGGGTCAATCGCTTTTCAGATCAGCCACATTTGACCGGAATATAGGCGTGTATGGGAAGCGCGGGGTGTGTGCTGGCGCGCGTGTAGGCTATAGAGAGTGGATGTACAATATTATATCAGGTCTTGTTTCATTGGCTGTTGTTTCGACAGGGAGGATACGTATCTTAATTAACCCCAGCCACTACCTCACATATATGAAATATGATGTTTGTTTTACTGGATATTAACGTGGTTGTACCAAGTTATGAGATGGGATTCTCGGTGACTATGACGTGATAGTTTGTTAGGAGTTTAGAGATGTAGATATAGAGTCGACGGCAGCCCAGATGCGTCGTGTACTCTTGGGTTTAAACTCTTTGTCCTATTGGATCCACAACAACGTATATATATTTACTTAAATATATATATGTAGCTACATGTACTTAGCTACATATACCTTTCAATATGATCACAGGTTAATAAATTAAATCCTCTATCTTCTCCTTCATCGAAGCCTATAACTGCTCTCATCCCTCACACGACAGTCCCCGAGTGATTAGTTATGATTGTATCCTCAACGCACAAAAGAAGGCAAAGTGTATAGCTAATACTAAAATTATATCTAGAGATATAACACCTTTACTCACCACAAATATCGTTAATGACGTTGTCAGGGATAATATGTTAGCTCAACCCCCCCCCACCAGAACAGTCGCAGCCGGCCCAGAGATAGCCACGAACCATCGAGTCTCGTCAAATTACACGCACGAGTATTCTTATAGTCCTAAAGTTGGTGGGTTATGATATCGCAATATCGTTAAGGTGGTGTTCCAAGCTTGGAGTTGCGTGGAGATGACTGGCTGGCTGGTTGCAACAGTTAGTTATGGTAACCAACCACCGAGTAGAAAGGTCAATCACCTTTTTTGAGAGAGTTTCGTGATGAAAATAATTAATCGAGATTAAAGTATAGTGGCAAGCCGTGTATGAATTGAAAGGAAAATGTGGTAGGAAAAGTAATGTCAGTACGTATGGATAAGAAAAACAGAGCAGTCACAGTAAGCCCCTTCGATATATATACATGTATGTATTAGTTTCCTTCACACAGAACGCTGGCAACCACCATTACGACACACTTCCCCTATTTCTTCAAAAGATGAACTATGGGCACGGTTCTCACTATTCGGCGTCTCAAAACAAGTAGAACGGCGAACCCGGCATCTGTTCATGAATATGAATGCCGGCCTGCACTAGGATGATCTCTCTTCTGCCGAGGTTTTGATAGCTCTTAACTATAATTGACCTAGAGCTTGGATACTGGAGACTTAAAGCTCAGTTCTCTAGGAGTTTAACTACTCTTCCGGCTTGGGATTTATGTTATCTTTTTATGGCTAGGGGCGGAAAAGTAAATGCCTGCTTCATCGTTCACGCCGCCATTTTTACGATTAATAGGGGGACATTAGTACCACAAACAAAATATCGTGGATCCATTCCATTCAAGACACAAATAACATTTCATATTTGGATTGGGCCCAGAAGATTTAGATGCTACGTTATTAAAATCCCAAAATTTATCGAATAAAACAACTTGTGCAGCAGTGCCAGAATCTCGAATTATTTATATTTAGCATCGAATTTCAGCTATTTTAAGGGGAGTAAGTATCTACGACAATCATCAAAGCCAGCTAGTATATATACAGGACCACATACATCTACCTACTCTTTGGTCTCAATACCTTCCTCTCTCAGCCCATCCTCACTCTCCAACCTTGGCGGCCAAAAGAATTTCCTCATCCTCTCGGCCACCCTGGCGTCCAACTTGATATCCTCTTGCCACACTCCTTGCAGCGATTCATCCTTCCAGTACTTCTTCGGCCAGTCACCCTCCTCAACCTTCAGCTCCCCCTCAATCTCACCATACTCCTTGCCTGCCTCCAGCCCTGCTGCTACATCGGCTTCAGTGCTCATCGTCGCACTGGGATCGGGGCTATGGTAGAAAGGCCGCGAGTACGCGCCGAGGGCAATAGCGGCGGCTTCGCGCCCACACTGATCCGCTAGGTGTCGCCGTGTGACATACCGATATAGCCGGATAGGCGTGTTGAGGAAGCCGAGAATGTGCGGGTGCGGTATGACGCCGACGGGATCAAAGGTTGTGGGGATGCCAGGTGGGAGCTGCGCGGAGGAGTAGGCTTCAGGGAGAATATAGGATGGGGGTACAGAGGGCTTTGAGGGCTTCTTGTCCTCTTCCTTCTTCTTCTCGCCCTCTTCCGACTTCTGCTTCTCGGCGTCGGCGATGACATCTTCAATCTTGAGAACCTGCTCACTCTGCTCCGCAGGCGGCTTGTCATCGGCCCGCTGCGCATCATCCTTGGGCTCTTCCGGGGCCTCAAGCGGCCCCAGCCACCCCTCATGTAGGCCCCGAATGTACTCCTTCCAGGCATGGCGTCCCACCACGACCTCACCCTGAACCGCGCCAACCCGGGAGATCCCACCCTTCCGTCGAGTCTCTTCGATGATGTCTTCACCATCGACACCCAGTCTCTGCTTCCTTATGCCCTCCGCAACCTTGTGCCGGAGCTCACCCATCCGGCGGCCCTCCACAAAGTCAACGTCCAGCGCTGCAGCCGTAAAAATCGGCTTCACAAAGTCGCGGTAGTGTTCCTGTGAGGGTCTGATGTCTGTTCCACTTCCTGGGGGCGCACTCAAGTACACTGTGACCTTGCGGGGGAGCTCCAGCGGCCCGAGGGGCTCAAGGGCGAGGTGGGAGACACGAGAACACCACAGTGCTTGGATCCGTTTCTGCTCACGGCGGTCATGGTATACGATTGCGGCAAAGGTTCCCGTGATGCTGAAGAAGATGAGCCAGTTGCGCGAAGGCAGTTTGGCCTTGATGTTAGGGAGGCCTGTGGTGGGTCTATGTTAGCGGAGAGGTCTACAGTGGTAAAGAGAGAGTACAGTACCCATATACTTGAAGGCCGGATTGCCTTCAGCGGCTTTGGGAGGCGTGGGAGCGGCCATTGTGATGTGCAATTGCGCTTTCTGGGCGGCGGCGGCGTTGATAGTGCTGATATGCGGGTGCAGAGTAGGTTGCGGATTTTCTTGCGGCTCTGCGCAAAAAAACCTAGCCCTTAGTGTGTGTGGTGTGTTACAGAGTCTTGGCAACAACACCACGAGTGATATACGATGATGGAGTGTAGGGGACCTTTGGACGGTGGCATACTTTCGTGGGGCTTTGATGAAGCCTTTTTGACTCTTTTTAGGTCTTTTGGGAATTTTAGAGACAGAAGGGGTGCGAGTGATACTCTGTGAAGCCGTTAATGAAGCGCTTAAGTAGACGCTCGCGTCTATCTTTCAGTCCTAATACCTCGGCTAAGAGTATTTATTACTGCAGTCAACTACATGTAGTTGGTGGTTGATCAGTCAGCGTAGGAAGCTGAAAATATCCCGGCTTCTGTCAACATGCGCCAATAACCGCCGAATAAATACGCGACTATTACAACAATCTGCAATATGATTAGCCAGTGGGGGCGAAGTTGGTCTTGCGCCAGACTGTAAACGGTTATTAGTAGTGTTGGTGCATCGGCCGGCCGGGGGTAGAGAATTGATGGACAGAAGGCCGGCTGTATCCCGATTGGGGATTCAGGGGGAAGCCCGAACGCATCGCGACTAGGGCGGACCCGGATCCATGGCCGGTGGTCGGGGGGGACGGAGCGATACCCGGGTCCCATCAGGTTCTTGACCTTCAGCCTTCTTGGGTCATGATCACTCATATGTGGAAAGCTGATGTGGTGCATAAGAGTGCGGAATGGTATCGGAAAAATAGATCCACGGAGGCAGATCTAGGGGACTTGTGTCTGAAAGTTTAATCTCGGTCCGGGAATCGTGCATTTGCGTCCGATAGATCGATCCCCACAGCTTCTACCATTACGAGAAACAGAGGCGCTCCTAGATATAGATCTCGAGAACTACATTACCACCCTTTGTCTCTATCTTAGACAGATATACTGAAAAATTTCCGACAGCCAGAAAACCCGGGTAGTAGCTATGTAACTACTCAGCAAAAGTACCAGGAGGCTAGTCCATAACACATCAGGTCAGGACGAATGACCTCGACATGCAGGACATTAATACTGAAGACCTGAAGTTGAAATAAAGTCGTATAGGGCAGGAGCCTAACCTAATCCGGCTAGAGCACTAGGCTCACTGGGTATCACTCGGGCGAGGCTACTTAGCCGTTTTAGCCGGTTGTTTAGTAATTCGGGCGGGTGGAAATGATCGAAATCCCACTTTTGGGACCAAGTGGAAATGGGACGTGTCACATCGTGGGGGATGTGTATCACGTCATATGGTGAAAATGTATGTCACGTGAGTCTGACGTGGACGATGAGAGCGATTTTTTCTTGGAAAGCTGGTTAACAAGACAGTCATTATGTAATCGCGGCGATGATATTAGTTGATTATTGAGAAAGCCAAGTAGTTTTTATACAGCCACAGCATTCTCAGAGCCAAAGTCGGGCGTATCATACGTATTATCCCTTGGACGGATGAAACTGTCAAATTCGCAGCTTGCCTTTTTGAGCTAATACTAGCCTAAGCAGGTATCTAACACTTATTTTTGATTCGCTCTAGGTCTATTATCAACTATTAAGAGCAATGGATATACCCAACTCAGTGCGTGCACGGTCCAGGCTGCGAATTTGACGATTTCATCCGTCTAAGGGATACCGGTAGTTAATTAGCGTAACCATGTCACACAAACCATGTCCACAAACCATGTCGCAATCCTACAAAGTCATCGTCCTCCTTATCCTCCTCCCTAGGCTCGTCCCCAGCCCCCCTGCTTACATTCCACACTGGTGAGCAGCTTGCTGCTAGTAGGGAGACTACCTCCCCCCTATCCCTCCTCCGTATCCACCGCATCCGCCATATCCACCATATCAACCTCGAGATCCACATCTTCCCTTACATCCTCCCAATCCTCCTGCTCCTCCTCGACTTCACTTTCGCCTCCACTTTCGCTACCCGCGGCACTCTCAAAGAATCGGCAAAGCTCCACACTGACCCTCGCCGCCTCAAGCGCAAGCTCAAAATCGCGCTGGTCGCGGGCAGCGATTTGCGCATTGCGTTTGGCGCGGTTGAGGGCCTTTATGGCTGCCGCTTTGTTCTTGTGGTGTCGGGCTGTTTCACGTTTTGCGGGCTGAATGTGGGGTGATTTATTGGGGTGGGTGGGTGGTATGGTTGGAGGTGTTTGTTTGCTGTGTTGGTTAGTAGTGATGTGTGGTGAAGAAATGGTGTTGGTGGATGTGGATGGGAGGTAGAGTATGGGGGATGGGTAGGTGTGATTATATGAGAGTATAGATGGCTAACGGTAGATGTGGTAGGATGAGTTTGAAGCGATCTGGTAGTTCTAGCGCACGGATGGTACCGTCATATTTGTTTCGATTTTCTTGGCGAGCCTACAAACACAAGTACTGACGTTAGACAATCATCAGGATAGATAATAGCAACTTAGATCAACCATGCTTTATTCGATGACTGAGCCGCGTAGTTCTGCTAACTTAGAACGTATATATCTACGTTCTAAATGACCCAAACGATGATTCAGTGTCAAAAAGTTACAAAGAATTCCCAATGACACGAAATGATCCAGCCAATGCTGGACTTACTTCAAAACGTTACTACCAGAAAAATAAACACCCCATTCCCAGGAAGATGCCAATCCATCCAAACCACACCAACAAAAAGACGAAACTGATGTTACAAATCTTTCCGGATGATGCCAAACTATTCAGACAACGAACTATTTAAGAATACGGTCTTCAGCTTAGAGGGAAGAACTAGATGTGGGATGTTAAAAACAAAAACAAGAATGGAATGACGCCGTGAACCTACTAGAGGACATTTCTATAGGGGATGCGGACCTGTTACCGAATTCAAACCCTACGCATAGATCAACGGGGTAGAGGTAAATTAGGAAGGGTGGAACTATAGATGTTCCAAAGGGCATCATGATATGCGATATCCTCTGCGTTTCTTGCCGCCTTTACAACGAATAGTAATGGTATCAGCACGAAAGAAAGCGATTTATGCGGAAAATGGATTAACTTACAGCGTACTGATCTTCCGGCAGAGGATCTTCGGCCCTGATAATAATTTCTTCCTTCTCCTACAGAGACCCATCAGATCCGTACAACTAAACAGGCTGGAAGAGTAACAACTTACCACCTTATCTGCCTTGGCTTTATCAATTTTCTTCTGGCGTGCCTCCTTCTTTTTCTTAATTGTCAACTCGTCCGCAAACTTGACCATATTCTCTTCAATGGAGGAGCAGGCTCTGGACCATTCTTCAAACTCCCGATTCTTCTTTGCCAATTCCTCGGTGACCTTCAGTTCGTGCATGTATCTTGTCTCCTTAGCTGCTTCGTTTTTCCATCGGCGAATTGTTTCGCTTGGACCCTCCACCACCCTCCGTTCCATCTCCGAGAGAACTCTGTTACGAGGTTTCAGGTTAGGGCTACGTTTGGATACTTTGAGGATTTCCCAGTGGGAGCCCTGAAAGAGTGCATCAGGAAGAATATTACCGGAATCAGAGACTCCATCGGTACCAGGTGTAGTAGGAAGAGTCGGCTCCACTTTGGCATCCAGGGATGAAAGAGGCGCATTTTCCTTATGAGATTTACTGTGCCTCTTAGTCTTTGGAGAAGATCTATCTCTTTTAACGTCTGGTAAAACCACGTCGATAGCAAAATCTCTCTCTTTATGCTTATACTTGGATTTATCTAGCTTGATATTCCCATTGTTCAAGGGGGAACTAATAATAAAACGAAACTTGGAAATGTCTTTCTGGGACGTCTCTATGCGTGCGTGTTAGCAGTAGTCTGTAATGAAGGCCAATGGTAGCTTACGAGAGTCAATATTCTGTGTAAAATTGGTAGCAGCACGTTGAGCTGACACGATTTAACTATTAGCTACAGCCTTATGAAAGATGTAGGATAGGTTTTACCGAGTTTGTGGGAAATGCAGTAACTATTGGAGCGGCGATGAGGGGTAGAGGCAGGCAAAGAAATTTCGGGCTCTGGTGGCTTGTTAGTTTGTCTAATTCTGATAGTGCTCTCGAAGGGCGAATAATGAGGTATCTTACCCAGTTTTAACAGAGGTTTTTCAAAGGTTTCACCATGAAAAAAATTTGGAATCTCTGTAATTCGTTTACATCAGCATTCCTGCCATATGAGGAGGAAACTGGGTATAACTGATACACACCCAACAGAACGCCCCTAGTGATCTTAGTCGCAGGCCCCTTTGCGGCAGCAGCGGCGGCATTAATTCTTCTTCGCCTATGCAAAGTCTGAATAGCAGGAGAGAGTGTAAGCGGATCGTTCACTCCCTCGACCAGAGGAGCCAGGCATTCACGCCTTTTACTTGTCACGGGCATCGTCTCATCGGTCAGATTCTCAATCTCCGTTCCTGGTGCATTTCCTGGATGTTCCATAAGAAAGAAAAACATTCTCATGCATCGATTTGCGACTCTCTCGTCCCTTTCAGCCAAGCTGTGCCCATAGCTATGGCCCACATCGACGTGAGAATGCCTCCAAAGGTTCTCACACGGGCAATGCGGTGCATACAGTAGCTTTCGCTGGGTAGATGGTAGGGAAGTTGCGCGTGTACGCATGGTAGATGGTAGGGGGCGGAGAAAGATGATTGTGGCGATGATTTCGGTGGTGATGATGATGATGGTGATGGTGGGGATGGTGATGATGATAGGATGGTGGTGGTGGTGGTGGAAAAGAGAGAGAATACGAAGAACGTGCTGTTCGTTGAAGTTAACTCGTTTCTGGGTCCTAGGATTTAAAGAGTGCCGCATTGATCGAGTGATGGCTTATGATTGTTTACCAGAAGGTGGTCCATAAGCCTTCCGGTGATTTGCAGTGAATAGAGGACATTGTTGCCATGGGGATTGCCGAGCCCTATTGTCGTTGGAAGGCTATGACAGCGAAGAATGTATAACACTAGATCTTGTTGGTTCATTAGCATGATGGAAAGGAAAGCAGCTTTAGCATTAGATGAACTTGATGCGTATAGAAACATGATGGATGACATGCGGGGGGTCTCCTGTTATTTATATATGACGAGCGTCGAGGACATATATGATGAATGTATGATCGTTACTGGAAATGGCCCATAAAGAGGTTCAGACCACGTATTACTAGTGCAAAAACGTGTTCGTAACCCAATATTAAGTGTACATGTAGCTGACAGACGGATCAGCAGCTCGGTCTACGTCGCTATATCTACCCTCCGTACAAGACTCGTATGAAAGAATACATGTATCTTCATCAATACTGCAATCTTTCTGTGTTTGCAAGCGAAATGAAAATGAAAATGATGAACCTCACCCGCAATATAGATTTATCGTCAAACGCAGTGCTCTTTAGTGATGACTTGACCTTGATAAAGTCAGGTTTCGTCTACATATTAGAGTTTACCACATTTAGCTTAAAGGAGCTTTTTCAGTTTTCGCAGTGATGGCAACTTGAGTCATGCATCTGCAGAATACATGGTTTTATAACAAGATCCTCCTTTTCTGGCAACTTTGGCCTTCTCGATTTTGGTATAGAACTGATATTTGGGGCTAAGTTTGAGATACGAGAACTGAAAATAACGTGCTTGCTTACAATTGTACAATTGATTGAGCCCAGAAGGTTTTAAATACTAAATTATGCATGCGATGCATGTATGTTATTATTATATATTCCCCGAATCCAGGTATGTGACGCCGAAAACGTCATTTTCTTTGCAAAACGTTGTAGATGTATCCATAAAATGGATAAAATGAAAATCAAGAAGGCTCGACATTTCTGATTTTGATAGTATCTATATGTACTTCTTATAGCTTTTCATAAGTCTCACAAAATAATGTGAGAGACGCGTAAAGGTGCGGCGCTGGTGGGCGCCACTTATGCCGCAGTGAGTCGCACGCCAACATATGTTCTACCTCACTCAGGTCACAGAGCCAGCGCGCTCTCTGTCTAAGATATTTGGAATAACTCCAAGCATTGGGACTTTCTATTACTCCACGTATAGGTAATGCTGTACCGACATCAGACAGCCATGAAACAATCCACCTTCGCACCTAATTTTTGCGAACCACACTAAAAAAATTTAAAACTCGTCTCAGATGACGTGTCGCATATATGCAGTGATCAGTGCTAGTGTTCGTCCGATGTTCACTTCCACACCCAACATTTTGTTCTGTCATGAGCGTTAATTTACTCGCTCTGCGGCGTTGCACCTGGCATGTTGGGTGACACTAGGTGTTGCAGCTTTTATTCCCTACGCCGCGAGGGCACTAAACCTGCAGCAGAGGAATGGTGAACTCCGGAATGCTCAGCTCCCTCCTATCGCACTCAACTAAATATATACATCATAAGGTTGGCAACCATCGAACTCCACCATTGAAATTGATGGCTCTAATCGCAACGAAGCCTGAGTCTACGAATCAATGAAGCACCAAAAGTCAACATACGCAGCTGGTTCTGATCACCGTGGCTTCGGCCGCGGGAGTATATTTGCTGCCGCACCAAAAGCGAGAGTTTTGTTGCCCAATCAACAATAATGGAAAAGCTACTACTCGTAATTTTTTGACGTTTCCGGACTGAACTGGGTCTGCATATGGGCGAAAATCGTGCATAACAACCATATTTTGGTGGTATGCAGACCCAGTCCAGTCCGGAAACGCCAAAAAATTACGAGTACAAGCCTCGCAGATTGATTCCCATATGATCACGATCTCGTTATTGATCTATTAAACAAGGGGTTTTCGTGTGTGTCACGCAGGGAAGATAATGTTTCCTTTCGTCCGAGGTGTTACAGCAGGCTTCACAATAGTAACTGCCCAGGCAATTTTATCACTCACAGTAGATATCTGGGCGGTGGTCTTTTCCAATTTCCAAAGCGGGCTGTGGTTACGTACCGCTGTTACACTGAAAAAGAAATACCCTGCAGCTTAAAAATCTGTCTCTATTACAACAACTTGTTTCTCAGCCTGAATGTTATTAAAATCCCAGTTTTAAAGATAAAAGCTGAATTAATGGACTGGTATTCCGTCCAGCGTTGGCAGACATATTGGAAACCAGGCACTCTCCCCACGAGTAAAACGTTTTCAAGTGCGAACCAGATGACGTTTATAACTCAGTATATATACATATGTATGTATTTATATACATTAGTTGTAGTCGTAGGATTATTATTCCGATTATAGGATCCGGATCGGTTGGTAAGCCGATTGGGAGGTCTTCGAAGATTTAGTTTTGTGCTCTTTGGATGAAGCATATATGGCGCATCATCTCGAAGAGAGGATTCACCCGTCAACTTTGGATAAGATGACTTTTATTAAGACCAGTAGAAGATGTCCAAGGTCATAATCACAATATAGATCGTAGTAAGGCTCACAGAAAATTCGATAATGAACAATGACTAGTATAAAGAAAAGTTGATATGGTGTCAATTGACCCGAATAAATAAAAGATGAGTGTAAGAAAGACTGGGTCACGAAGGATGCCCTCATTTTACAAAAGAAATATCTCCAACTCATGGCACTCTGGCGCCCTTGGCATTTTGGCGCCCTACTCAGCCGTTTCCTGTTTCTGCTCCTCAGATTCGTTTGGAACCTCTGCCTCCTCCGACTCCATAACTCTTTCTTGTCCAGAATTGTGAAGATCATCCTTCCATATTCCTTCATATACACCTCGTCCCCATGAATAAGCCGTCTCAGGCCACAATGTTGACGTATCATGAGAATTCTTTCCTGCTGGCTCATTGAAGTTCCTGACTGGTCGTTTCCCTCGCCCTTCCTTCCACCATTCATTCACCACTAATGCAGCAATATTTGAGCCCATTAACGAACTCAATTCCATGGTACTACCAAGTGACTCAATAGCTGAGGTGTAATAGAAGTTGGGTGAAAGTTTGAGTGGTTGAAGAGGGGTGCTCTGGGTTTTGGGGTATACGTAGGGTATTGCCGCAGGCCACTACAATCTATGTTAATTATTAATGATAAAAATGTAGAAAGAAAGATATACCTCATGACGGTAAATCCAAGAGATAATCCCATCCTCATCTTCACCAGCGCCAAGCATTGCCTTGATAGTAGCGTCTTCAATCTTTGCTGGTGATACCAGTTTATAGAGCCACTCTGTAATGACAACGTCCATCTTGTCGACCCGATCACTCCGCTTCACACTCTTAATCTCGTAAAATCCCACTGAACCCACACCTTCCATGCCAGTCCTACTGTTCATGTCCTGGAACTCAAAATCACGTAGCGTAGTAAGTAAAGTCTCCGGAACTTCACCATTGTAGTTGAAGTATGCCCCCGACAACATCCTCGGCGATTTGAACAACGTGATATGTAGTCCCGCGTACTCCCTATCATCTGGTACATTCTCGAGAGGTTCTCCTTTGATATCTAGTCCTGAAAACTGCCATGGGGCCGTAAGAATGACTGAATCGAACTCGGTATAATCGCCATCCTCTGGGTCATTATCACCATGTGCTGGTTGACTGGCAACGACCCACCCGCCCCAATCCATCCTTCGCAGCCCAAAAACGGCAGTGTTGAGACGAAGGTCAACATTACTTCGATCAATCATGGTTTCAAATAAGTTCCAGTGGCCACCTTGTACAGTCATATCGCCACCGTCGTCGAACGCTGTCATGGCTGCAAGACCACTCATAGTTCCGAGGTTTTGGGTAAAGTCGCGACGCACCCAGGAGTTGACAAGTTCTCTCTGAAAATTGTCCTTGACGCCATGTGCGGTGAGTAGTTGAGAGCCAGTAGAGGTAATTACTTCTTGAAGTTCAAGGTCCTTAATAACCTCTAGGAGGGATGTGAACGGGAAGAAGCTGGTATAGATGCGGCTGAACTTGGAGAGTGTATCTTGTGCATTGTTTCTAGTATAGCGTGGAGAGTGCCCGTAGAAGTAGAATAGCTTGAAGCTCCACCACCAGCCAGTTAAGAAGTTTGTAGGATGAGCTTGGCGGAAGACTATCGAGCGACCATCGAAGCTACATCTCTGTCAGCGTCAGGGACAAACTAGTACGGGCGAGCTAAAACGTACACTCCCCACCGCTCCCCACTACGACCAGATAGATCAGTGTCCGCACGTCCATCGAGCCAAACGGTTTTCAGCCCCAATTCTGTAGCGATGTGGACGAGATTCTGGTTAGCTTCATGGAAGCCAGTGGCGGCAATCTGAACGGTATCACCGTCTTCATCGCTGAGACTAATTTGGCGCGTAGAACGACCACCAATATGGGAATCTTTCTCGAAGATTGTTATATCGACTAGGATCCCATGACTGCGGGCATATTTGCGGATATTGAAGGCTGCAGATGCACCTGCTGGCCCAGCGCCTGTTTACCCTCCCAAAGTGATTAACATCTCACCGAAGAAGATAAACAGGCTAATTACGTACCAATGATAGCAACTTTTCTCACGTACGGGGGATCTCCACGTAGGCGCAACCCCACCACCAAGCAGAGAGAAAGCACCCCACAGAATAGAAGAAAGTAGAAGAATGCGGCCAAACTACAGATTTGAATGATGGGGCCTGGGTACGTTGCCCAATCCCTAGTTTTGGTCTTCCTGGGTACGGTCCGGCTTCTTCTTGGGTGACGAGGCCCTGCCCATTCATTCAGGTTTGATAGGTCGGGATATAGTCCATCGTCAGAGAAAACAATTGATGATGGTGGTCTGTTGGCTTTATGCTCACTCTTGATGAGAGAGGATCTCTCGCTATAAGCCGGTGGTCTTTCCATCTCTCTTGTTGTGTGATAGTAGGCGGATTGGAAGCTGGAGGAGGAGGTAGCGCGATATTACAATGTAGACATGGAGAGTGAGGGCAACCTATTCAGGCATCCAACATTAAGGCCGCCTGCGCTCAATGAGGAAATGGATCGGCAGAGACTTTGTACTCGCGTTTCCGGACGCAACTGCTATTGCATACACAGAAAAGACCCGCCAAGGCTATCTTTTGTATGGCATGCAATAGTGGTCGCGTCCGGAAACGTCAAAAGACTACGAGTACTCTACCTACACTTCATCAACCCCCGGCCCGGTAAGATTATCTACATTTTCATAAGTGTGTAGCCTAGTGAAAGTTACGTAGAGGTAAGGGTCCTTCCTTCTTTCTGATTTTAGCATTGAATTTCGCAGTAAAATAACTACATGTACATGACGGTGAGTTGGAGCAAAGATCAAAATATGTACACGATAAATATAAATCTTTACCAGTTGAGACGTGATCGGCACGTGCACGTGGATATTCGGGCCAAGTGGTTTCTCGGAATGTTTTGGGAAATGGTGCTTACATAATTTCACAAATAATCACTCGTGGGCTGTGGCTTATGCCCTTTTGCTTGGCGGTCCAAATGTGGTTTGGTGTTGTTTCATACAAGCCAGCACGCACAAAACAAAGGTAAAGCTACATGAACCAATATACATGCAAAATAATTTTGCCTTTCTGGGTGTCTAATATCTGTAGTTATCTACGCATACATCTGAGGGGTAAACAAACCTGGGATTTAGAGTACTTAATTAACCAGCTCGATATGATCAGGTATTGATTGATCAATTGGTCAATTGGCGGAGCATCTTAATACAATTAATGATAAACAGTGGCCATGGTCCAATCATTCGGGTTTAGCTTCCTCGGGTTTAAATACTATCGGCAGTGAAATTATAATACCATATAATGAACCTCTGGGTAAATAGAAATAGTAGCTAGAGCAGTTAGCTCATCTAATTGCCTATCAAAGCGCCCTATTATGATCTAAACCAATCGATCTCGTACCTGATTTGGCTGTAGCTTTACTTGTGCCCACAAAAGCTAGGAACCTGTATGCTAATTTAATCATAAGGGATAAATGCGAGAAGAGAGGCATCATTATTAATGCCTTCAGGGCATGATGAGCTTAGTACTAGGTAGCCAGGCTATATATTAGGAATACCAACACCGAATCCGCACGCGGTAGTACACATGAACGGCGCATGTCTCTTAGATATCGATATGCTCCGGCTCTCGGCGGTATAAGCCTATAGCTATGTAGGTACAGGTACATGTACGTACACACACACATATATATAATATACTACATATACCTATTCATCTATAGACCAGAGTATAGTTTTCTTATATTAAGATATTTCTTTTATCTACCATTTAACACTTTTGAGCCTCCTCCACGCTCAAGCTGAGGTCGGATCCTGTCTTACATGAGTGGGCCGATTTACGCCGTCGATGGGTGGGGTCCATCCATAGCTAATTTGCTCAAAGCCTACGCGTGCGCATAGCTACGTGTTTGGAACAAGTATGTACATGTAAGCACGTACATGTACCGTAAGCTATAACCTCTGTGTACCAAACAAATAGGCTTATATAATGGAAAATAGAGAACCAAACAGATGTTCCACCCGATGTAACACCAACCTCAACGACATAATCATGTCGGGATCTCATCATGTAGTTCTCAGCTCAGCATCACTCATGCTCGTGATCGGCCGTCCAACAAGTTTCTCCCAAAAATCAAATTAACGTTCACACGTTTACGCAGTTAAGCTACATATGCATCTAATCGTAGTTTTGCACACATGGCCCACCCCACGTACGTCCTCCCTTCACCGAGTTTCATGCAGGAGACAAGGTAACAAAACTGAGATTTAAAGACATCCTTGGGGCAGAGAATTGAGTTTTAAACCGAGCATATGACGATATGATATGAAATTTTGGGACATGCGTTATGGGCCCTAGGTTTCGGTTCCACCGTCAATTCTGGTGTTTTTGAAATCATAATTTGTACGATTCCTTGCGTCGTGATCAGGGGTAGTGCAATTCAATGCAGAGAATTGAAGAAACCACCCCCTGAATCGAGTCGATCTCAGGACCGAAACTGCAGATCTATTATCCCAGAGTTCACGTACTATATACACGTATGATGTCCTTAAACACGTACCTAGAGCTAGCCCAGTTACTAACAAACATGCGCAACTACATATCTAATTTCTCGAATTGTTAGAGAGGATGTAGTTAAAGGGTTTCATGAGGTAGTGGTATGTATATATTCTCTAGATATTATAGATATATATAACTAACTAATATATAATTTAAAAAGTCCTCAGCTCCAATATACCCAAATCCTGCAGTATTACCCACTTTGAATTTCTATACCTTTAGCAGCAATCATGAAAATACCTGACGGGCCTTCATTTTTCACCGATATGTCTGATTTGGATTTGAAAGAAATAATTCATCATTTAAGGGAGGTAACATTGAATAATAAAGACCGAGATTTGGTTCGCATAAAGCTATGGGATTACCTTAAGTACTTGTAAGGATTAATATGTCTGCAAATTCTCTTACGGGATATTCAATCTGATCTTTTGGAATAGTGCTGAAGGCAAATCATACCCATTTGAGGCGCCCCTTAACGACCAGAACGAGTACAAACCCGAGATCGAGACCACAGAAATAGTCTTACACAACGTGGCCCTGGAAATACATTCTAGCTGGTGCGCACTAGCGGCAGTGGTCAATTTTATGATTCCACCTTACGACCCCAAAGAAGGAACTATTGCTGGATATGGATATTCAGTTGTTATCTTCCTAGCCAAATGGGCAGACACCATTGCGAGGAACTTCAACGATGTAGAAGTTGGTACAAATGACCAAGACGGTACTACACGCACGGGAAGAAGACCCGGACGCGTCCAGTTCAGTCCTCCTTTTTTCACCTTCACCTTTGCCAAAAGGAAGAGTCTCATCGATTCCAGCAACTGTAACGATTACATCACAATAGTCAGCACTGGTAAATGCGTCAACCTCCCGCTTGGTCCCCTGACCAGCGCTTTGAGTGAAAAGTTGATAGCTGCCAGATGGAACCAAGTGATTACAAGTTCAATCTTTTCAGGGATTTCCACTGAGGATTGTCCGTTCCCAAGAGACTCTTTTTTTAAGCCACCGCATGAGTTTAAGATGATCGAAAAGGATATCGAAAAAGCCCCGGATGGCTCGGTGAAGAAAAAGACATTGAAATTATTTAAACAGAAAGTTGAAGGTCTTCCAGCAGATCCACATTCGAAGGGACCAAGCCAGGTTGTCGCTAAAACAGTCAACTACATCGGAGGGTGTGCCGAGTTATGGGGATTCTTGGTTATGCAAAACCGCGTTAGACCTGGAGATCATTTCGATTCAATTACCATCGATGCCAAATGGGCCCATTGCACCAAGCTTATTGGGTACAACCAAACAACTGTCAAGTGCGAAAAATGCCCCGATGGATCTGGAAATTGGAGGTTTAGTAATAACGGCACGCACTGTAAAAAAGGTCGGAAACATGAAATATTAACACCAAAACCTGGCTGTCTCGGCTGTCTCTTCCTAGCCTCTGCCATCGAGGCCAAGCAAAACGTTATTTGGAAACAAGATAGCGGCATAACGCTTAGGCCCTACGAAGAATAGTCTACTCCCTCGAATCAACCGGTCTAGAGGTCGTTGAATACAGATGCATGCAGTTGAAAGTGAATTCGAGAGTTTGAGTCCGACTCAAAGGAGGAGCAACCAACCCAGAAAGCGGGAAACGAGATGAATCAATTCGACCTCCCATTTTTCCAGATATAACAATAATCGGTGGCTCTTCAGTTTTCGTACGAAGTTATGCCCATGAGCGATTTGGAATGGCCGGTATATATATATATGGAAGAAGCGTCAAAGGTGCAATTGATAGAGTCACGATATTTTAATTTTTTCTACATTTATTTCTAAGTTTAAGTTATTTATATATTTCTGATGTGTTTTCTTGAAGGGTTTGTGAGTAGTTTAGTACCTGAGGATCAATTTAATTGCAGTCAATATGTATTCGGATGGTTTTTTGTTCTCTTCTTTAACGGGGGAGGTTTCAGTTCATGTATGCACATGTGGTCATAGGTTGATTACATACAGTTATAAATGTACATAGCTAAAGTACCTTGCTGTTATGTATATTGGAGTTATTGACAATGTTGTTTTCCCGTGCATCATGATCATGCTCATAATGTTTGAAGTTTGCTTGCGTTGAGATTTTGGAGAACATACATGTATACGTATACTGATCACACCCCAGACAACCATACGAGCAATCAACACGCAACCCATGGCATATTGCAGTAGAGAAATTGGGGTGAAACCACTACGAACATGTAGTATGTACATGTAGATAAGAAGTACCTCAAGAACGATACATGTATTTATTTCCCGGGCCCATCACGCCCTTTTTCGTCGATAAAACGACTATATAAGCCCACTCTACTTTTAATGGTATATCTATAAAGCTCAGACTAAAGCCGTCCAGGCGAAAAAGGTAAAAAAGACGCACGCCTGTTGGTTACCGGCCACTCGCTATCATTCTTTGGGCGGCTTAAACCGGCCGCGTGAGTACGAGTCCAAGATAATATATATGTATACACGCGCTCCAAGGGTAATAACGCGATACTTTTGATCGGTTTATAATTTACCGCGCGCCGATATGCATTAGCATAACGTATTACATACGTGCGCGCGCGCATGGTGCGGCAAGCTCAATCGTTACCAGGTGGCGTTAGTCATTACATGTATGCATGGCAGGTCACGGGTCTCGGTCAGGCGGGTAAAAAGTGGGTTTTCCCGACGTGACCGACATTAATTCCCACTAAAAAGAACTTCTTGCCGTGACACACTCTTTTCTGATTTTCACGGATGCAGGCCAGGGGTAATCCGATTGTCTTCTCACTTACCCGTCGACGTCCTTAGTACGTCTTATAGTTGGCCAATATTATTCAGCCAGTGCCATGGCCCGGGCCGGATCACTCGTATATATATCTATATATTCTACAATGAGTACGCTCTCAAAGCAAGATATTCGCAACATCTATATATATATGGAGCCCAACTCAGCATGGCCAATAACTGCCCCTACAAAGATGTGCTTTCAAATCTAAAGCTCGACATTAGCTCACCGGATCAAATTGTTTTACTTTTGATCTTCGCGGTCCGTCTTATTCTCCAACTCCTCTTTGCGCTAGGCCGATTTCTTTCCTACAAACACTGTCCGACACATCTATGTCATCAACCCTCCCACACCTGCCCTGGTCATGAGCGAATTCGAAGTAATATTACTCCGCATGAAGCTAGATCAATGTCGGCAGATATACCCGTACCCACAACGCAACATAATATTGATATCCCTTCGACCGGATGTGGGGGTCCGGATCTTCCCAAGTGCACGGAAGATCAAGGTTCTTCAGCTGCTGAAACCAACAGCACGAATAGAATGTCCAGTAATGACGAGCGTTGGAACTACGTTTTGGCTACTGAAATATTACCTAAAGCCGATTACGAGGTACAGGAGGTCGACATCGATGAAGAGAACAACTCCGAAGATGACTTCTATTCCTCCCAAATGTGGGAAGGGTATAGGTTGAAGCACGAACCTCGGTCGCATTTTATCTGGCAGCATAGTACAGACACACTATTCGCACTTGCAATTGACGGATCAGTTTACGGTTTTTCCATAGATTTCGAGTGCGGTTATCTTATTTCGGATACGATTGAGGGTGCAATATCGTATCTTTCGGTTCCTGGTACAAGAGCGAAGGGGCCAGCAAGGCCGCCTTGGGGCCCATATGATATCAATGCCGAAGATATGTTTGGGGACAAGTTTGGCGATGAAAACTATGATTCTGGAATAGATGATTGCGATTCTGAATCCGAATGCGACTAGCTAGCGATATAGCGGCGCTAGCTGATGCTTTGATTCTGAGGATTAATTGTTTTTCGGCCTATTGATCATGATATGACCTTAACCCACTTTTCCTTGATCATCATAATCTCCATAATTACATACCACAGTCTTTTTCCTTTTAATTGTTCCTTTCGAATATCTTCCATTCAAATCTCTTAATATTTAGATACTTGTGCCGGTACACTACATGTAGTGTATATAAATGAAATTTGTACTCCCCTTATGTTCAACAGTTAATTAGACTACATGCAAGGCGTAAAATTTTATTATTCATGATTAGTGCGCACCCACGTGCACCAGCGCAAGCGACCAATTTTCGGTGAAATATTATATGTGCGTACAAGTACTTACATGTAGTACATGTATCTTGTCAAATTTAACCTCGTCAAACTTAACCTCTGAAACATGAATCACCAGATCATAATTCTCCCGCAGATAATGACTGTATAATGTGAATTTAATTTGTCCGCTAGTTCACAGTCATGACAGTTCTAGTTACTAAACCTCACACAAGGCTGTACGTACACAACAATTGTAACCCTCTGTTCTTGAGATCCCACGAGGCTAGAGACACTAAACACATGATATGACTCTCACCGTCAGATGTCTTGGCTCTGCTTGGCGCTTATTCTAATATAAAGGCTGTTCTCCTGTACCTACAGGTATACGTGGACGTCCACCTTGCTTGAATGCCTGGTTTTAGAAAAACCTTCATACCTCAAACTCTATGGTGAATACCTATATATATTGACCCGCGGACCCAACACCCCTTGGTGAATTGGAGTCAACAACGTTAACGGCTGGATTGATTCTATATATCCAATTAGCCAATTGTATAGGTATTGCGTGAATGGAACCGTGATCGTCGGGAGTCCCCAGTAGGGTACGTTCGAGTGCCCCTGATTTAAGCCAGTTTTAGCTTCGAATTCGGAGTGGCTTATTATTATAATTATTGATCATTTCATCGTTGTATTGATACACTAACAGAATTAGAGCACAGATCAGTGTCCGTCGCAGACGCAATATAACTTACCGCACCCGGGAAAGGTTCGCCTCGCCTGAGTAGGGGGCTAGGCTGGCCAGCCAGAGACACTGAACCAGCTAATTCTACGAGTTCGATCGCGATTTGGAATTCTAGCTGAAGACACACGTACCTGCTCAACTACAACCACGACTCTCCACCCGATATATCCAATGTTAGCTGTGGAGTACAGTTAGCTACCACTGCAGCTGTCTTGGTCTGAGAAATTTCTAACCCCATCGAACGAGGGTCTGGGGGGTTTAACTACGACAAGACTTCGTCCTTGTAGTCTTCCCAAGCCAAGTCTTATAATATCACTGATACGCTATAACGTCAGTAGACGATCGGGAGCAAAACAGCTGGTGAAGGGCCAACAACAGTGCCAGACGGATCTCTAGTGAACCCCAAGACTTCGAAACGCGGGCCATCCCCTGGACCGTACATAACAGTTTGGGATCCCGATCGGATGCTTTGTAACCACAGTTTCGTTCAGTGAGGCATGGGATCAACGTCGGCCTTGTTTGACAACCTCCACCTCCCCAGATTGCACAAGAAAGCCAAGGTTACAAGGGGAATCACAGCTCAAGACATCCTTTTGTATGGAGATGGAGGAAAGGCCCGATTGATATGATTTATGGGGCACATACGCACGAAACTACTCCGTTCCACACCCTTTCCAGCAAGTCTTCAATCACAGGAATCTCCTACATGGAGGCTCAGCGGCCAGTTTTGGCGTTGTGGAGGGCCTCAAGGCTTGGGACATCGCTGGATCCTGAAACGGAGTAGGTATGACTTGAGACTAGTTGATAGGGGTGGGTGTGTATGATGTGTGTCACTGAGATCCGCCATTCCTCCCGAAAGCTGGTATTATTACTGGTAAGGACCTAGTCGAATAAGAACTAATAGCAACACATCGCGGCGCAGGCCCTCCCCCTCCCCCTTTTCTTTTTTTTCTCAACATTAACTATTCGAGTGAGGGGCTTTCGAGTGGCCGCCCGAGAAGAGGTTAATCAACGCGTATTAAGAGCTAATTACTCTAGGGTACTCAAGAGAAGATGAAGGTACGTTAGAGTACTTATAGGCAGGTGAGTAATTTTGGTTCACAGCTCGATTATAATATCAATCTTAGGGTTACTGCTCGGCACTATTTGCTGATCGAAGAATAGGGGTGCTAGTACCTGCGATCATGAGCACGCGATCAAGTTTAACGTGTACCCCGATTGATTGGTTGGCGCAAGCGGTTCGCTATTATCCACTCTACAGACTTGTATGTACTCTATGTATGTACTGTGCGTGTAGGGGTAAATCTGTAGACAGTGGCCGTGGTTGCAACAACTCCCACTGTCTACAGACTTACGCCTACACGCGTAGTACCGGGTGTTGAGGGTAAGTGATCAGAATCTGATAAGTGAAGTTGCGGTGAATACGTGTATTTGTCTTATCGGATTCTGATCACAGCGAGAACCAGTACTCCTCCACCTTCACCCCATCGACTTTCAACAACGCGACACTTGCCTAGAAACAAAGTTCTTCTCTAATATTGGTTGTAGAGATTCCCACTAAAGGGAATTTAAAATAAATAAGAACTTGTTTCACTACGGCCTCTCGAAAATTTGGTTCAATTTGCCTGAAAAGAACATTGGTGTGAAATAATAACTTTCTGCCAAGATCAGGCCAAATTAGGTAAAGATTATTTCTCGATTAGGACTAGTGGCTAAATTTGAAAGAACATGAGGGTTAATTCTGACTGTCCGCCACTGTACAAGTAGACTGGATGTATGGTCGATCAATTCTTCACGTTACATGGTCTATCCTGGCTGATCTGGGCCTAAAAACAGGATTTGTATGGCCGATTAACACAATAAGGATCGCCTGGTAGGCGGAAACCTGCTCAGAATCTGGTGCTCTACAGGCTCGGCAACTTGGCGCCGAAAATTACTGTTTATGAGAATTTCTTGTTGACCTATATGGCAAGGCAGGCGCCGGGTTTGTACAACATGCAGAGCACCAGATTCTGAGCATGTTTCGGCCCACCAGACGATAATAACCTTACCACTCGCTGTACAGCCCAATCAACAGCGTAGAATGGGGCCCACTGTAGCTAACCGCTGCTAATTCTTGTACCTACTAAGAGCTTAGTTCGCGTTTTCATATGCAACAAAGAACTGCCTTTGATTATAATTCGGCCTCATAGGTTATAGATGGATATGTGGAGCGGCCCAATCGGAGATCCATCTCATTCAAATTAAAGGTTCTACAATTTTAAAGACAGGAGCCAACAGTATATTCCACGTTTTCTAACTTTGATCAGATAGATAAAATATACACCACTTAAGTTTCATAACCCCTGTGACAAGTGACGCTTCAGGAACAGATCAAGTTTCAAAGAGGCATTCGATGCAATATAGGTGTCCATGCAAAAGTATATATACATACACTTGTACGCATGAAATACACATATGACGTAAGTATATGTACATACTAGTGAGGAGCGGCCTCCGGCCGCATATAAAATGAAACATCAGTTCGAGGAACCGCCGACATGAAAAGAAAAGGCTGTAAAGGTCTAGAAAACTCACAGCTCTATTTAGTGTTTCGAATTGAACGTACAGCTCTATACAATGGTTCGAAATAAAGATCGATTCCTCGCACGCAGTCGGGGCCGCCTGCCACTGCGCGGCATGCTGGGCCCCTCCTTGCTCGCGTGAAGTGTTAGTTTCGGAAGAGCTCAAGAAGAACCATTGATGGAAAGTATAAAGGTTATAATATAACGTTGGTCAGAGGGGCTATTATATATCATGACAGAACTCGTGGTTTGATGACTTAGGAAAACATGCATGAAGACATGCATGTCGTCTCCCTTAATGCACCCAATTCTTTGTCTATCGACAGCTAGCTGTAGCCCACCGGACTATACTCTAGAGATGGGAGGTAACTAACCAGCCAATAGAAACCTTTCGTGGTGACAGAGATACCTGACTATTCTATTTAGAAGTATATTCAATGGTATAAGCTTCCCACCCTCCCACCCTTTATAATGATAGGCTTGAGAGACTGATAGCCTGGGTCCGACCAGCCTGTAGTCCCTGATCAAGCATAAATGCTAGGGAGATTTACACAAAGGGTTTACTTCTTTCTTTTGGCGACACATAATTATAAGAAAAGCCTATTCACCAAAAACGAAACCCCAACCAGACCCTATGATATGTATCGATACCTAGCTCGAGTTGGGACTATGCGATCTGTGTAGCCTAATCTGCTAAGTACCCAAGAGTTAGGATAAATTGCATTTTCTGGTTTATTTGCTACACGCGAGTATTGCTACCCCTTAAGCTTATGTTATCAATTGCTGACCATTTTCAGGGCCAAAAGCCAGTGAATTTAAATTCAAGTGAGAAATTGGTTAAGACCGAATGACAAGAAAATCAAAGAGTAAATTAGCAAAGCCCAACTGTTTGGTCCCACAAGAAGGGCCTGGTGATAGCTTTAGAGGTAAGCCCACTAATAGTCCATGCATATTGGAACAAAACGTTCTCAGCTATCCCTTCGTCTAGGGCGAAAATTTCTGCCCCCCCAAGAAAAGCAAATTTTGTGTGGCTTTGCCGACTGATCCTGTTACCTCTCTTATCAGATAATAGATCTTCTATACAAATCTAATTCCTATATTATAGGGTGGGCAGCATCGCCAGACTGAGGGATAACGTACGCGTGCAGCCGGCAATTAATGGCAGCACTGTCTTCCGAATAGACAGGTGGCTAGATATCCTTTAGATCTTCCAGTAAAGGGGGAAATCTTCACAATATAGGCTGATCGGCTGGTTTCGGCTTAATTGAGACATCTCATGCAATATCGGATCATATGTCCTGATTATGTCTACACATGAAGATACTCGGGGAAGGTTAGCAGAAAAAAATGGGATTGAGATAATTACAGTACTCGCAGCAGGTAACAAGTACCCGAAAATGCAAGCCCTAATCTGCAATTGGCATTGGAGTAGAAGTCAAAAATACACCAAAACCTTGCAGCTGCATTTTCGGGTAGTTCAGGCCTGTTGCGAGTACTACAGATATATGTACGTATATGTAGTCAGACCGCCGAGGCTTGCATGTAAGCTTCCAAGCCCGGTTTCCTGACATTTGGGTAAACCCTGAAACGTATGTAGATTTCATGACCCACATAATATCATTGATCTCCTATAGCTATACATCCGACCGTCCCCTCTACCGCATACGAATACTGCATGTGTCCGCGAGTCGAGCCGTAAAAAAGTGCAATTAATCTTAAACACGCGGCAGTCTGGCCTAGTGATAAAGAGCTGCTTCAAGGTACTGGTCCTTATATTATTGGAACATGCAGCAGCTAGTCATGTGCATGTAAGTGAAACATCTAATTGAGAAGTAGAGACCTGACATTAATTAGGTATTCCTTTGTATATCCTCAATGAAATTATATATGCGACGGTCTGTACATGTACATGTCAACGAAAGAATCATAGAGGCCGGGAAGAACAATTACAAGTTCTAGATATGATTAGAGCCTAGCCTAGCTTTGGAGTAAATTATGTATGTAGTTTGAAGCGCCAGTGTCTAGCTAGTTTGTCCTGTTTAATTGGTTCTGAGCCACAAGAGGAGAACCACTTAAGCAGTTGTATGGCAACCCATGTAGGTTGTTATCCATGTCCCGGTCCCTTAGACTCGTGGAAGAATGGATCACTTAGTCACAATGATGTAAACCGATTGGAAGCTCAAAAGTGTGTATATTGATGATGATAAGATGAGAAGGCATCACGGCTATAGTGTGATGCCAACACTACTAGTATTACATAAGAAAGAAAACGTGGCGTGACATAGGTACTCATCATTAACGTCTCTGCCATGCCTAAACACTTGTCCAGATCTGCGTAGAGGCTTAAAATCAAAGCTGAGGCCGAGGCTGAGCTGGCTCGAGCCTGGTCTAGAGCATGAGCCAGCTCGGGTATATTGAAATGCTTGTAATTGAGGTACATATTCGAGCCCTCTCTCGCTATAATACACGAATTCTGTGGTGCGCGCATATTGCCATGGCGTTTGCTTAGGAAGACGAGAAATATGAACAAGCGGTGATGGTGCGGAGTACCTAGTGAAAACGTAGCAGAAAGGCGGGCATAAGATAAGTGTCCAAAAAGGGGCGCAACCTCTAGATAGTCTCTTCAGTCTCATTCGTTCGCCGAGAAGGATCGAGACTTGGATATGTATGTACCAGGTGTTGAGGGTAAGTGATCAGAACCTGATAGTGAATGTTGCGGTGAATACGTGTATTTGTCTTATCTATACAATACATAATTACTAGTAGTGGCCCAGCTCGCGACCGCGAGTTGCACTTTAGGTCATGGGTATCAAGTGTTCAAGAATTGTGGAAGGCCTTCAATTGATCAATAGGGGCCTTCGGCCCCCTCTACCTCCCCTGCTACCTCCTACTCCTCTCTACAATTATGGGGGACCTCTGGTCCCGCTCAATCGTGGTGCTCAGTATTTTGATGTGTCGTGCTTACTAAACCCACCCCTGTCGCTGTCGACCAATCAAAATGCAAGGACTTTCAAAATCTTGAGTTTCAATACATATTATACCGACAACGGGGACTAGGGTAAGGGGTTTCCACTTCGGCTAGCTAGATGCCAATTATTGTATGGCGCGAGAAGCTATAGGGGGCGGGTGTGTCAACTTCGGAAGAAAAATAATGTTCGCCAAGTGGGCAAGGGTTAGCCGGGTGGGCAAGGGTTAGCCGGGTGGGCAAGGGTTAGCCGGGTGAGCAAGGGTTAGCTGGGTGGGCAAGGGTTAGGTCGGGCGTGGTATACGAGGTGGTTGCCATTTTATGCTGGTTCACAACCTTTATGTGTGGATTAGGTCGGGGTACACTATGTTGATGTGTGGATTAGGTCGCGGTTCACCTGCTGCTATAAAATCCACCATCAGCAACCATCTGTACCTGTCCACCAGCAATCCGCCCACCATCAACCCTCAATACCTCTTTACTAGTAATGCCAGACCAAGAAATACTTCTCAGTTTACTAGTGCCCCTTATGGCTATGCAGCTACAGGGAGGATTAGAAAGAAACCTTTAAAATCTTCAGTTCCTATAGTTCCTGAAAAAAACTGCTATGAAGCCGTTAGAAGCACCAGCAAAAAATTCATTAATTGCCCAGTGTGTTATAAGGATTTCAGTTACCAGTTTGATCCTGACAGGGCAGTTTAGAAACACCTTCTCCATTTTTCCTCTAAGGATCCTAAACACCAAGAGGCTCGGGATTCTCTTAAGGATATTAGGCAGCGGAAAAAACCTTCTGGTAAGTATAATTAATAATATTGATTTATATTATTGATTTAAACTAATTAGAGTAGATGAGGAAAAAAAAAAGCAGGATAGAATTAATTCGGCCAATTGGAGGACTAGAAATGTTAAGAAAGCAAAGCGAGCATCGGCTCAATATGCGGCAAAGGTTAAAATTGAGAGAAATTTGAGATGGGCAGGGGAGTTTTCAGAGTAGGGTTTGAAGAAATTATTGGAAGAAAAAATAGCTGAATGGGATTTGGAAAATTAAATTCTGTACTATTCGATACTGTACTAGCGATATATGTTGCTATTAAATAGGGTTTAAAAGACCCGCTATTTCTACCCGTCTGTGACTTTTATACTGTTTGTTAATATGAGAACCCCAACCAGTCCCGGCTCTATAAGCTTCCATAATATCTCGTGATTTTCTCCAATACCTCCATACAAATTTTTGTGCATGACAAAGACCTTCGGGTATTTGAGCTCTTAATGCAGAAAGTGTATATGTACAGTTTTTTCGTGTATACCATTTGGCGGCACCCCAAAAGTATTCAATCCAGTTCAGCTCGCAATGAACTTTGGGGTATAAAAGAGCTAGATGACCTTTATCGGTAACTAGTTGTTGAACCTTACTAGTTTACTCTTTAAAATCTGGTTGAATTGACATAATACGTTCTGCGCAACAGCCTTCAGGTGTACTAATATTACATACACCTTTACACTTCTGCTTTAATTTATCATACCATAACCCACGCTCCAGTAGTATAACTTTAAGCCCTTTTGGTCTACCTCTCCAGTTTTCCGGTACCGTCAAATCCTCAAGTGAAAAATTGAATGATTGTTGAATTCTGTTGCCGTTCAGACCAATATACCAACCGTCTCGCATATCAGGAGCTTTCGCGCCCGGTCTCAAGTTCATAGATGAAGCTTTGAGTGCGTCTTTTGCCCATGTATGATTTGAAGGTGCGTTATCAAAAAGGAATACCGCTTGAAACCCCGGAAAAGCTAGTTCAAAAATAGGTATTGCATAATTGTTGATTTGTTGCATCAACTTCTCATTATCCCACCAAACATTACCGCCACATTCAATCATCTCCATTGCGTCGCGGCGGAGACCTAACTGTTGGAGTTGAAGGTCTGAAATATATTCAGGAGCTTGCAGTGTTGACAGCGGAGTAAGAAAACCTGATAACATAATACCTTTTCCTAACTCTTTCTTCCGCTACGGTTGACTATCAGTTTTGACCCATTAGTGGGTAGGTCCTTCGTTTGAATGAAAGGTACACTCATCGTGTGTAACAAGTACAAATGGGGATTCTCCAGTAGCTGCTAATATTTCAGCTGGTGTACGTACATAATCGCCGTTTTTGTCCTATTCTAATAGTCGCGGCTTTAAAGCTTCAAGTTGCGGTAAGAAAGTGTTTTGCCGATAGTCGACTACATCCTCTCTTTCATGACTATCTTTGTATAAATCTTTCCAAACTTCCTTCTAATCAATGCAGCCATGTAACAGCTGAACGGCTAGATAAAGACCACTTAGTCTCATCTAAATCAATATCCTGTAGAGCTAGAATCGTCTCCTTCATAGAAATAATATCCTCTGAATAATCATTCTCAATTTCATTACTGGTTGATAATGAATCCTTCCAATATCGTACTACCGTATTGGCAAGACTTTGTGCAATGATTTGTTGTCCAGCACGGGCAATATATTCTCTAACTGCAATCAAAGTACCTTCATCAATTAACATTGATTGAGCTGATGCGGTTTTCCCCTGTAAACCTGATTGTATATATCTTCAATTGTTATCAGTAAATGTTTAAGGTTAATAAAATTCTAATAGTCAAGCTTACCGTCTTCTAATCCAACTTCTTTCTCTTTGTAATATAAAGCTTGCTAGCTTACTACCACTGTTGAAGGAGTATGCTACTTGTAGAGCTAGTTTTTCTCGAGTGTTGTTGGAAGAGAAAGTAACCGGTCGTTTCAATTCAAGATTCATAAAACACTGAACTTGTAAATGACGAGAATAATCCTGGCCCGTAGGACATTTAGATGACTTGAGAAGTTTTTTGATATCAAACAATGCTGAATTGATTAGCTGTTTGATTCACTTTAGTTTTAAAAATTTCGAATTACCTGATTCAAGTATCCTTCTTCGCATTTCCATATCGGTTTGAAGACTGTGTGCTAACGGCCAATTCTCTATAGCTTCTTTAACCGATGAAAAACTTGAGACTTCCATGCCCTGAGCTTCTTTCTGCATTGTAAGCTTCTTCCTTTTCCATATCGCCTGACGACTAATCGGTTTTCCTGTCCGACAACTATATTCAAGTTCTTTTGTTGACATCTTTGCTGTAGTAGTTTGAGGGGTACTGACTCGGATTCTACAGAAAGAAATCTTTACTCTCGTAATTCTCTATCTCTACTCTGTGTAACCAACTAATAATTCCGTTTGCCATATCCCTAGCCTTTAAATTTTTAAACCTTACCCTAGGTGAGACAGCTTAGCGACCCAATCAGAATTTTTTAAAGGAAAGTCTGTTGAAGTTTACACACCCACCCCTTATAACTTCTCGCGCCATACGCCTTGGGAACGTATATCTATACCTAAGCCTATTTGGGAGCAAATACAGGTAGTTAACATAACCAACTTTCACACACTGTAGTACCTCAAACCGATTACGTAGACAGGCAATCAACTTAAGGTTTCTTAGATCGCACTGTACTCTATACTTGTGAAATTAAGTTCGCCAGGCCAAGTTTTACGAAAAGAGCTGTAATATGTATATAGCGGTCATGAGTGCAACACTTGAGGATTCACATTTGTTTTTATCTGAAGGTTCTCAACATCCCTCTCCTCCCGGCCTCAGAAGCAAGGAATTTCAATTCGAGGACTTATGCTTAAGCGCCCGCAATAAGGCAACGTAAGGCAATTGCAAAATTGTTGGGAAGTTCCATCCAGCATTAATATTAATTTGTTGAATGAAATTGCCTGACCATGCGCGCATGATCATATTGCGGGACTTCCTTCACGACTTGTACTACTGCCGTTAAAAGGCATGCAGGGTGCATAATATCGCCTCGTTCTTGTCGGCGGATAGGATGGCTACCATATACCTACTCGCATAGGGTGAACAGGGCTAGGTATGTAAATACACATGTATATCCCTTTCTCTAGCCAGCGGAAGGCAGTCAACAGTAACGGCGTTCAGCACAGCACAGGTATGTATGTAGGCCTGCATAGCTAAGTACTAGTTCAAAGAACGAAATACCATCATATTCCACTGGAAGAGAACACTTGCTTCACGGCCGACGGAAGCCACAGTAACTACCGTTAGTTTGAGTGGCTCACGCCGTAGTTTTGTCTGCTTCCATCATAAGAGACCGGTCTCTTCCAGTGGAATAAAAGACGGTACATATGTACTTCCCTACATGTAGTTATCACGTAACTTATCCCTTGCGTTGATCAGACACGCACAGCTGGAAGTGGGCCCTGAAAATTGAGAAGGCACTCTGCAAAGACGTTAGCTAGCTGCTATTACGGCTTACGCACTTCGCATCCTGCTAGCATATATCATAAGCGCGGCGAGCGTCGTGCTAATTCTAGAACCGTTAACTTCCATATAATCATTCAGAGTTAGTACATGTAGTATAATCCAATCCCACCCAAGTCAATTGACTCACTATATATATAGATATTATATAACTTACTAGGACTGAAGAGCTAGGAGGTTGTTTCGAAGACTGTCATGTGAGCGTGCGCATGCTAAGGCCTAGTAATACACGCATAAGATCAAGAGTTCTATATATATTATCGATATTGATGATGATTACCATATATAAGTACACCGCGTACCGGTACACCACACTGATATATGAACCGGGGCCTATATATTGCTATCCATACCATGTACCACTAAAACAAATAGTTGAACTCAACTTAATTCTCTTGAGATCATGTGACAGTTTGATATCGTGTATCTTTATCTCTCAGAAGTGTCATATGCCCTTAACACAGATATAATATCTTAATGAGCTCGTGTATTTAAGTTCGCATGGTCAGCAAACTATGTGAACAGCGATGTGTATATAAGTTGAAGTTAACAAAGCAAAAACTTGCTATAAAGTCGATAGGCTCGATCAAGACCAGAATTTAGTACTTACGTGTAGTTTAAATTGATATCCATACCCTTTTTTAAAACTAGATACATGATTTCATGTAGGTTCGACTAGCTATAGCTTTCACACAGATCATATTACAGTATAACAGTGCGATACTCCACGCCTTAGAATGGTAACCTGCTTAGGGAAATCCAAGTTTAAGGCTCTCGATCTCAAGTGATTGTCCGAAATATGATAATTTCAATTGCCCAGATAGGCCAGCCACCTTTAGTTCGAGAATCATACTCTGAGCAAGAAAGTTGCAGTATTATGAAACCCGCTATAAAGTTAAATATATATATACACGCATGCCAGGTTTATAAGATTTCTCATAGCGCTGTCCGGGAAGAAAGACAAGTCTACAACTAAATTAACCCCGCGCCCTCCAACCGTTTTCAAGGCTAGTATTCATGAGTTCTTCTACAAAACCCGACCGGTATCTTATCAAGTAAAAACCTTCTTGTAATGCTCAACCACATATCTGTCTCCAAAAGAACCCGAGAGATGTGCAGTGGGGCCTGAAGGGCCATCAAGGCATTGCAACATTAATTAACGAAAGGGAAAGAAAACTGTCGCTGTCGATCGGATTATAATTAAGGCATGATGACCACGCACAGTGCACTGCCATGAATACGCTTGCAGCAGGACGTATTGGAGCACATAGAGGCTGGTGCGATTCTTATATACACTTACCTGCACATAACCAGCTGATACAGCTACTTATATGGAGCCATAGGGTCCCAGCCAGTACCGCCTTAGAGTTCGCTGCTTCAGGGGTAAAACTGCAAAGAGCTTTGCAGTTTTGTCTCGAGGTGATCGATTAAAGTACCACCACTTGTATGGAGCGGTAAATGTGTCAAAAGTAATTTTACCAACGGTAGTAAATTATTTACCACCGGTGGTATAAGCACTGAATTTCAGTCATTGTATCTGCACGCTATCCTACATTAGTACATTTCCACCGGTATAAACACTGAGTTTCGGTCTTTATGCTGCGCTATACTAAATAAGTAAATGTTCAATCATTAATGCCAAAACTTATGAAAATTTCCCACCGGTGGTACCGGTGGACAATTTTCATATATATTGGCATTATATGGCCCTTTTGGCCAAAAGGTCTGTACAACTGTGCTTTTATCATAAAAATTAGCATTATAGGGTATAAATACTGGTATTATTTTCACCACCGGTGGTAAAATAATTTACTACCGTTGGTAAAATTACTTTTGACACATTTACCGCCCCATATACACTTGTTGATCTGATATATATATAGCGCCCTCCAACTTCAAATCGAATCGATGTTTCTTACGAACAAGCATGGGAGGCCGTCGGCCAATTAATGAGAATGTATTCACCACCCACTTAATTGGGCGCCCCAATCACACGGACGGTTGAGAGTGCAGCACGAGAACCTACATCATCCCGTCTATCGCCTGGTAGGCCGAGACCTCAGAATCCGGTGCTCTACAGGCTCGGCAACTTGGCGCCGAGAATTACTGTTTATGAGAATTTCTTGTTGAAATCTCAATTATATCATTACCCTATATGGCAAGCTTAAAGGCAAGCGCCGGGTTTCGGCCCACCTGCAGGCGATAGCCTGTCAAGACTGACATTTTCCATCGGGGCCGCAAGCCTCAATAAATCTAGAAGAGAGATTGGACAAAGATAGTTCAGATCCAATAGTTTATGAAGTATTTTTGGTGCGTAGTAAAGGGCTTGCAGACAGATCATAGGATAATTATAATCGGGTTCTGTTAATTATACCTCTTTTCGATCATGGTCAACCTCCATCAACTAAGGGGGTGTCCGAGTCAGTGATAAAAGGGGCTAGCTTTTTAGAGTCTATGAAGTGTGATTGAGAAATCCGAAAGCCTTGAATTATTAGGTGGTGCAAGCCACTTCATGAATTCATGCAGATCGAGTACATGAGCTCATGCTCACAATTAAAGCGCTCCCTAGATACCGCGCCAGCGCGCCAGCGCGCCAGCCTCACCTTCTTATTTAACTGCGAAGGACGTTAATTATGTTTTGTCAGTGATCTCTAGTCCGCCTATCACAAAATTTAAAAACAACTGTTACATGGGATAAAATCCATATACAGGTTTTCCAGATCACCAAAAAACTCACACCATTACATATACATATCGATATCCTTGTAGATCATACATAGATGTACGTACGCCTACGTATACGTGGGTGAGCTGACATATAGGTGTCGATCGCACCACTTACAACATCAATTGAAGTCACAAGCTGCTTGCCAGGATATTTGCTCAGGAGTACTTGAAGCAATTATATTAACGCATGATCGAGTAGATTCATTGATTCATTGATTATAGAGTGCTTGTTGCGCAATTGCGAGGATTGGTTTTCGCCACCACTTTTCATTTACCAAGAAGTGGCGGGCCGGGAATTCATTCTCCCAGTAATTATACGAATCGCGATATAATCGATAACAATATATATAAATACTGTACTGTACGTACCTACAACAACCCTTAACATCAGGCTTGGCATATGCTTACGGATGGACTAAGCGAGGCAGCCGAGTGATATCTCTTGATCAAGCCCTAATATGATATTGAATCGCTTACAACACATATTAAGCTCCCCCGCCACCTACATTAATCTCTTTGAATGGCAATCTTAAGTGCTTATCCTATATAAATCGGAAAATTTCAATATTTTACCGACATAGATACCTTCACGTTCCTTTCGTTGCTTCGGGGGTGCGATCATTTTTTACCATGGTGGGAAATGGTGCTACTGTCTCAGGCTGCCGACGTTGCTATTCATCCATCTCTGAGTATTGTCTTTTTTGGACATACTTGATCTTTATGGTTCACTTCTTCTGAACGTTCTAGTTTCCTACTTGGGCCGATCGAGACTCGACCTAAAATGGTTAGCGTCTGAAAGGACCGAGTGATCACGTATGATCGGATACAAAACTTATCTCCTTCCAGTGCCAGTCCAAATCATAATAGTAGAACCATTTTGAACGCTGCCTTGTGTGGCGTATGCCATTGACGTTGTTTTATGGCTATATAAATAACCGGTACAAGTGGTCTTAGCTACATATGTGTGTAACTGTGTTTCCCCCGCTAAGGGCAGGCCGGAATAAGTGGTTCTTCGGAATAAGGATTTGGCTGTGCGGACGGTTTTGCTAGATCGACACCCATATAAATTCCAACTTCATATTCTTGTATGTTAGAAAATCAGCACCCTCATCACTTGAATTACATCGTTTAAAATTAGTAGTTCCACTATTATAGTCGATCTGTTCCGGGCCACCGGCCGGCGATCGCGAATACCTCGAATCCGCGAATGGACTTGACAAATTCGCGAGTGGACTTGAGGTATTCGCGAATGGACTACTAGCCTCATACATCTGTGGCTGGACCAGCCCATTCGCGAATAGACTGGGGAAAACGTAGTCTTAGTAGAATAAATATTGATCGCAAACAACTAATAATTGATTTAGATCAATGTCCAATAAACCCCGTAGCCTCAGGGGATCTCTACAACCTCCAGCGACCTCAAAGACCTCAAGGAGGGCAAAAAGCAAGCTCTAATCAGCAATTGGTATCTCTGTAACGCCTAGAAACAGCCAGCGATGTCCTTAAGGATTCGATCAGCATCCTTCCTATGATCGATCTCCATTAGGGCCCTGAAAACTCAAGTGGCCGCGTCCAAACTATTGGAGAATAGTTCTGAAAACCATATTTTACTACAATTTAAGCAGTCCATTCGTCAATCGACCGGTCCTGTCACAGATGTATGGAGCAAGCAGTCCATTCACGAATTCAAGGTATTTGCCAGTTGCCCGGAACAGATCGGCCGTATTGCGAGCTTTCAATTAGAATTTTTAATTTAAACGAATACCGTCCGGCCGATCTGGCACCATCAAACAGTTGAGATAATCTCTACTTAAAATAACATGTAGCTGCAGAAATTTAGGCTGTCCTCAAATCAGGTACACCTAACAAATTGTTCCCCATGAGCCTGTTAAACCTTATTCGAGTGATATCTGATGATGCTAACTACCGAACGTCTTCCCTTGTCCTTAGCTAGTGAGGCTTTAATATATATGGTTTGGTACAGCTAGATTGTATTAAAACCTGATTTTTTATCGTATGTACAATAAAATATCTGTGCAGTAGCTTTATAATTTACCGGCCTACAGAAGTTCTTGATCATGATATTGACATATCAAGTATTGACACAGCTGCAGTACTATGAGGTTACCATTTAATTTCGATTTCATTTGCATGGCGTGCTTCATGAAGTATAGGAACTGTAATTATATAGTAACCTCGAGCTAGCTGGTGGCCTCATTTGGTCATAATCAGAGTGGATTTATTCTCGTTCTTAAGATCTTCTGAGCCTGCTAAGTCAAAGGAATATTGTTGGTCGCTTTTTATTATATTGGAAATTAAGGTTTTTGGGAGCATTTACAAATACACCAGCGTGTCAACGATCCGAATATATCCTTAATCATTCTCAATTATGCTAATACCGTCCAATTTTTAATACCGGAAGCATTTATCGAAACTACGGGTCGAGTGATTTCCCATGATCGCTAGTCAGCTCTCGCTCCGCGTTTGGCTAGAGATAAATCTATCTTTATTAACCTTGAGCTGGCTCTGATCAAGTGTGAATGTAGGAGTTGACATGTTTCAACAGAAGACTCATATAGCGTGAATCGTTGTAATAACTCGTGCCATTATATTATATCTCAGCGTAGCCCACGAGGCCGAGGTGCATACGCATCTTTTGACTCGCCTCGAGGTAGCCCTAGGCATAACATACACCTCAACGAGAGCAGTACATCTCCATATCAAATTATAGAGTCTATTCGCTTCCAGTTAATCTGAGCTTTTTACTAAGTATATCATTCTCTCATAATCATATCCATTCTAAGTTAAGTGTATAGATATATATGTATATACTCATATACAGGCCTAGGGCTAATGATAGCTTAACCCAAGCTCTTCATGATGATAATCTTATAATAAAGTAGACTACTTGTAACCCAAAGACAAACGGCCGTAACTAACCTCACGTATGTAAAGTGCGAGAGAGGAGGGTTCGAAAGCCATGCAGCGGCTTGACAGACCTGATAAATACGGGTTGGGAATAATGCGCATGCAGCGTAGTTCTAAATGAACGGATAGCCTAAACTAAGCTGGATCCATGGACATGACGCTGAGATCATCGATCGCATGAATTTTCTTCACGGGTTATCACTCGTTATATATATATATAAGTTGCTGAAATGGCTGATGGGCTTGGCGTTGTTTTACGCGACGTGCGACCACATCGACAATATCTTGACAACAACGCACACGGCGCGCTCTGATCATACATATGAACAGCAAACACACAATGCATGTATGGAACCACCACACTACTACGTTTAGTTCAGCCTTGTCTTGCCAGTGTCAAAGGCAAATCCTAGAGCCCACATGCTTAGAGCCTCAACTAAGGAAGCCTAATCATGAGTGATGTGTGGTGATTTACGTACGTACGCCTAATCCATTGCTTAATCAAATTTTTATCGGCAGATCAAGAATCTCTGAGATCGCAGTATCCGTAGCGCTAATAACTTCAAGCAGGGCCATGTCATAGAACCATCATAAGACTCAAATCATATATGGGATGAAGGCTAAGATGTTGTGCGACAATTCCAAGAATACAACGTTGATACCATCACAGTACATTGCAACCGCACTCTACTGGACCTATATAGAGTAGCCCTGTACGTACTTTTTGAGGCTCTTAATTATCCCATTGTCCGTCAGTGCAATGCTGACCCTCCAGGAAAAAAGCAAGTCTTGTGTGGCTTTACTAATAGATCTTGTTATCTCTCATTAAATAATAAATCTCCCATACAAATTTAATTCCTCTATTATAGGGGGGTCAGCATTGACGGACCATGGGATAAGATCTTCAAATCGAAGATTTCCCCCACATTAACAACAGACCGATCTAGTTGAAGAGGTTGGTAATATAGGTGACGAGCTAGTGCTATGTACATATGCAGGACAATATGTGCATATATACTTGCTGCGAGAGCAAGTTTCCGCCACCACTTTTGTTGCAACCGCATTTTCATGCACAAATCTGGCGGAAACTTATTAGAGTCTTTTAGCTGCAAGAGTTGACAGAAAGTCGAGAACTTCGACAAAAGGTCCTGCACATCTTATTGGTTGAACGGCTGCAAGTCTCTTCCTAAAACAGCTAGACTTTCTGTCCAACCTGCTCGACTTTCTGTCCAACTCGCGCAGCTAAGACTCTATTCTCGCCGCAAGTACGTATGATGATGGATTAAACAGATATATATGATAGCAATTTATACAAGATTTTAATCGAGCTGGCCATGGGAAAAGTAATGCAAGCTGAAAAAACAAAGCCACATACGGTTTACCACAGAACCAATCGGCTTATTTCCTCAAACTCTCCGCGCGCTCATGTAACGATTTTGAATCTAAATAATAGAGATAGCTGTACAGCTGTTTGGTCTCCGTCTTAGCTACGTAATTACGATTAAACCCCCAATACCACATGTACTCACGTGCCGATCGAAGCATTATTAAGTTAACTAGCCATTTGTCTACTCGTTTTCAGTCTTTGAACGAGTAGTCATTTGTTATTAATGAGGTACTGTCCGATTGGGGGTATCAAATTTCTACTTTAGGAGACTGTCCGGCTATGATAGCGTGAGAACCGATAACAGTACAGATACATGTAGTATACAGCTCGCATCTATTGCAAAAGATTTACATATGCAAATAATCCGTATCGCGTTTCAACTTCATCGGGCACCACCGTACCAGTAGCCTGGGTTTAATTGTAATGTTGGTAAATTATAAAAAAAACTCCGAATATATAGGAAATGAAGCCAATTTACGCGATTCAATGCATGGGAGGAAGCAATTGGTGTATTAGAAGGTTTCAGAGAACCTTCTTCGAATCGAGATCGAAGCCTCCCTCGATTAAGGTCCTCAGACCTGCATAACTGTAACTAACGTGCGTAGCAAACATTCGTCAAAGTACACGTATGTGCAATGATTGCTGGCCATGGGAATTGCTATTCATCGTAGTATCAGGGGTTTCTATCAATGTACATGGCTGCCAATCATAATTGATAATGAAATGTATAATCGCTCAACAACCTTATAAAAAGGGTACGTAGAGTAAATATAAAGTCTCTGCTAGTATCTCAAATATAGTTTTGAAATATATCCAGCTGGATATATCTCAATTGCGCGCAAAAATTGGTACCAGCTATAACAACATCGATTCTTTCTTTTTTTTGAATATATTCTCTGTTGTAGCCAATGAAATCGTTTGATATCACCTATAATTATCAGAAGGAGTAACATGTCTGAGCTGGCGGTGAACTTTGGCCATATGCCGCTCGAAATCCACTTGGCAGCGAATTGGGAAATCAGTGATATAAAAAGCTGGTTATTCAATGTCACAAGGGATGAAAAGTATAGAATTTTCTGGGATGAATTCTTCGAAAATCACTTGTAAGTATTAATCATATTCTCCTAATAGCTAAACATGAAAAGAGCTATTTGATCTTAACATTAAGCAGCCAGGTCCTCAAACCCGATTCCGGGGCTAGTGGAAAACCAGATCAACCTGCAGGAAAATCACTACGACTCAAGCACGAGCCCGATGGAACACCCATGTTAGACCCGATTGAGTTCACCATATTGTATGGCCATGGGATGACTGTTAAGATGTATTCTTCCTGGGACGCCCTTGCCGTAATTTTGAACTGTGAACTCCCGCCTTACGACCCCACTGTTGGGCCCGCTAAAGGATACGCCTTTTCCATCCTTACCCTGCTCGCGAGATGGTCAATGTTAATGGGTGATTGTCTCACACCCAATAAACACTTTCCTCCGGTTTTCTGCGTCTCTTATACAGAAATCCAAAGCGACTCGACCCCAGACACCAGCCAAAAAAAAATGATCTTTCTACTCAGCACTGGAAAAGCACTAGATTTAGCATTTGGCGACGAGCGTACTCGTGTGACCAAGATGTTATTAGATGCGAGAAGGGATCAAGCGCTTCCCCGAAACCTCTTTGATGCAGAAGATAATCCGCTTGCAAGTCAAGTGCTGCTGAAAGGTCTACTACCACAAACTCTTGACGACCTCCGAGCCCAGGTCAAGAATTATTGTGCATGTTCACCAAAGTCACCAAAGCCGATAACTGGAAGAACGGTAGATGAATTCTGCAATAAATGGCCATCGGATCTTGGTTACAACAAGTGTAACAATCTTATAGGGTCCTGTGCAGAGACATGGGGATTTCAATTCATGTTGCAACTTCTTGGTTCCGGTGGTCGCTATTACTCTATTGCTTTGGGGCAGGACAAGAAGAAGCTGAACCGCATCAAACTCAGTCCAGGGTACAAATACTCAAGCGAACCCAAAATTACAACCAAAGGAATTTGCAACACCTGCTTCTATGTGGCATGCGCTATCAAAGCCAAGCGTAATATTACAATGGACGAAATTAAGGACATTACCGACATCTTCTTGGACGTCGCAGATTCGAACCCTGTCCCGACCACATTACAAGATGATGGATCGGCCAGGGACCAAGAGGTGTTACCAAACCTACCAAGGGAGCGAGAAAGCGATACCACCGAGCCTAAAACCTATGGAATATCAAGACGCCGGGGCGGTTTTTTAGGGCGCTATTTCTCATCGATCTAAAATCGTACGTGAGCCCAACCGATCGGGAATAAGTACATAACTAAAGTTATAGCTCTGGCAAGAGTTTCGAATTCCTACTCTGAAAAACCATGCCCCCCCGCGATATATGTCAGTGAACGAAGGATTTCGAGGTGTCGTTGATGACGACAGTGGAAATATTGGGGAATGGTATTTGGCTATGTGATTATAAGGACGGAGAGCTCGAGGTTAGGATCCGGAAGGTGGGGCTAGGGTTATTGTGATTTTTGTTGGGTGGTTTATTTCTTTGTATTTTGGAGAGTTTCTTATTTCTCATGCTGTCTTTTAAGCGGGTTAATTGTGGAGGTTTTTGTGCCATGCAGTGTAATTTCACCATTTTGATTTTATGCCATTATATTTATTTCTGATTGCGCAACTTAGCGGTGTTTAGTTATTTTTAAGTACGTGCCAGTCGGTGTATAGCATGTGCGTCTACTAACATGTCTTTGTGTATAATCTATCTTAGACTCCATATTGATTATATAATTATGCTAACAATTCTCTTTAACAATTGTAAACTTATAGCTTATGACGTACGCGTATGTATGTTCTCGAGTTAACGTCAACTACAAAACGTAACATGATCCTCTACTATCTCCGCTGAGTGATACTCAACCCCCATTACTCTAATTAGTGGGAATGATAATATAGGATTACCAAAATGAAGGTATTAATAACAGTATTACCACTGTTTAATTGTGCTTTAAATGAGTCGAAACCAGTACTAGAGACGTTACGACGTACTGAAAGTTCAAAGATATCTAGATCCCGTGAGTAATGATTGCACGGCTGGTATTGATGGACCTCTTTAAAAGCGTCAGGATGGGTATCAAAACTGTGGATATAATTCTCTAGCTGACCTCCTCACTCGAAAGTTGTTATCGATTGCTTTCATCTACCTAGCTGTATATCAAGACATTTGATTCGTCCTACTTGCAAAACAAGGTCAGAACTTTGTTTCGCCATCGTTGGTTTAATGCGTATGTTTAACTGACACACATATATATATATATATATTCCAACTGGGAAATTGTATAAATATGCATTATCATATTTATATATAAATACAAACGACCATATTAATAATATTAATATTGTGGATGTGGAGGAATAGTTTTATTGTATTGTCGTACACAGCGGATCGAATTCTTTGTATCAGTGCTTATAATAAGAGCGACTTTGGAATAGACTAGGTTTACGCTTGTGGGAATTCAACACTCAAGTCGATGGCAAATATATTGAGCGGGGATAAGTTTTGAGACAGAAAATCAAAAGCACGCTTCTCTTCAAACACCGACCCCCACGAAGCACAAACCACACCGACTATGAATATATAGGCATAAATGTGGATATTCTACGCACATACCCATACAAGTATCATTGAAATTAAATGAAACGCCTATATCACTATGTATACATGTAATAAGCATTAAGACGTTATAGTTGCATATATCAGCTAACACGTGCGAAACGAAATATCTTTCGCAGTTAAAGGCTCTAAAAGCACAACCCATGTGTCGGCTCACAGCTCTGGATTCGTATATGCATTTTCCCTGGATAACCTGTATGCCGGTCGACTCCCGCCGACGTTTACATCACAGATTAGTATCTACCAGGGGGCCACACATAAATCGGTGCCCTTTCGGATTTCCCATGTGCTGCATAATGTACATAATGCATATCGGACTTTGCCGGGGAAATATGAATATGTAAAGTAAGTATAGGAAATCTCGACAGACGAATTCGAAGCAACGGCCCTAAGACTTGGTGAAGTGAGGCAAAGGTCGTCGAGTGTCACCTTCATATTCGTGGATAATCATGATCATAAAACTACTGGATAAACAAAAGAATTCGGCAATTATGTAGTGTACTTTCGAAATTTCCCATCACGTGAACTCCCTCCTAGTGAGCTTCTAGAAATGGCTGCATGTATTTACACATGCAGACCTTTGCATGTGAGGAAAATATCGTTACCTGTATATTAGGGTTGGAGCTGCCAACTTGGTCAATTCTGTGGGTTGAGTGCGAAGCTTTCCCGTTTTCCTAATATACCATGTTTCATTCATGCGGCTCAGTAGAGTAGAGTACTCTACACTACATACTTCACATACATATACTCCTGCATGATTAGGCAGAGCTGGAGTGGTTCCGGATCCCGAATACTCTGGCCCATAAGATCCAGAGATGCATCGCTTTTTAATTATTTTCAGCCTTTCTGCATGCCTTTTCTTGGAGCCTGGTGGTCGACTACAACCAAATGAATATCCGAGAAGTGTATAGTACCCATATGTGATATATATATGTAGGTACTCTACCAGTAACCGCCAGTAACCGCAGCCGCTAATCAAAGAACTATAGGTAAATCATAAAGTATCACTCGCAGTTATGGGTCGATCCTACAACTACATGTGCGTGCATGTACGTATGCACATATTGTACATATACCAGTTCTCGAACGTAGTAGAGGATAAAATGAATACCTTGCAATTGGTAATCTATGTAAAGGGGCTATAAGACCATGCATACGTACAAATATGTAAGTACCCAAATATATGCCACGCTTAAGGAGTAATGACAGAATTGACAGGGTGCACGTGCACGTGAGCGCTTACTGGTTACCACACAGTAATTTCGGCGGCTTTCAATGATATCAGCCACACGAGTAGGAGTCAAAATCGCCAAGCCATAATTCTATAATCCAAGCTAAAGATACTATCTGAACAGGGTCTGCATGCGTCAAGCACTAGACAATTAAATATCGTGCGATTCCTCTTTCTCATAATAAAGCTATACCTAGCCTAGCACACGATAAAGAATATATAGCGTTTAAACGTTTGGTTGGTCAAGGTATATCCTGGGTGTCACCCCAGCTTACGCCTTGCGCATGTTACAGCGTCAGCTTTCTTGTCTAGTTTGCAAATCGCACCGACAACCCTACGGTCAGAATTTCGTTTCTGACCTTAAACAGATCATCATTATCGCCTGGTCGGCCGAGACCTGCTCAAAATCTGGTGCTCTGCATATACAAATCTGGTGCTTGGCTTTCCATATAAGGTATTGATCGAACTGAGGTTAAAACAAGAAATACCTACAAGCAGTAATTTTGGGGGCAAAGTTGCCAAGGCTGCAGAGCACCAGATTTTGAGCAGGTCTCGGCCGACCAGGCGATACGTTTTCAATCCATAGATCCATCGAAGCCTCGTGTATTCATGTAATAATTTTTCGATGGGCCGGCCGACGCGCCAGCTTGTCAGATCGGCGAGTGAATGGAGCTCTAGATCCCTTAAGCGAACGGATGTGAGTTCCCGCATGACTCGTTGTTCAAATAGCTATTATTTATATGTATGCCGCTCTCTCACTTGGGCATACTCCACATACTTACATATATCGCAACATTAGAGGCTTTCAGTTGATTTTTTTTTTCAAAGTGAAAGGAAAACTCATGCAGCTAAAGTTGCGTCTGCTTCTGCAGCTGACATGTCACTTTCTGATGAATACTTAATGCTAAATATTCCGTCCTCGAGTATTTCTCAGTCTACACCTGCAGGATGCTCTGTTTGTCGATAGTTCAATGCACTTCGGACAGACTCTTGGCTGCAGGAGTTTCCTTTTCGCTTTGAAAATGGAAAACAGGGATCAACTGAAAGCCTCTATTGACGGACGGCCAACAAATATCAAGTGAGATCTAAAGTCCTGCTCTCCGAGTAGAGTACTCGGGGCAGGTAAGAAGAACCTGAAAATGACTTTTGATGGTAACGACTTCTGATTCGCGGCTGGCGAAAAGCTACACCAAATTGAGCCCTGCTTGCAGCTTGCATTTTCAGGTTCTTATTGCCTGCCCCGAGTACTCGTAGTCTCCTGGCGTTTTTGGACTGGGCCACTATTGCATACACCCAAAATCAGGATCTTGGCGTATTTTTGTATGGTATGCAATATCAGTCGCGTTCAAAAACGTCAGGAAGTTACGAGTATGTACTTATGTGCATGCAAGCCTCCTTTTTCAGTCTCAGCCCAGCGTACCTAGTTACCGCAGAATCTCAATCAGACTGGGCTTGAATACCACTTACCCATTGGTCAAGACGACCAAAAGTTACGTCTTGGGTCTGTTGAATTGAGGCTCAACAAGGACTCGACCAACCTGAAGCCCAATATTGCTAGTCTAGCTCGATTCGTAATTCCTGAGATTTTACGGTACACCTGCGGGTCTTCTAGGGCTACGGAAAACATTCCTAGAGGCTCAGCACCATACCCTGACTCTGCAAGACAATGTGTTGTGTGGGGGTGGAGAAAGAGGGAGGTGCATGCATGTCGGGAACAAAGCTTGGTGCTTGCTATTGGATGGTACATACATTCTAAAAGTACTCTACTTGCTGCGGATACTGCGCTAGCTGCGCGAAGGGTCTTCTCACCTATCCCCAAGTACATACCTACAGCCACTCTGCAAAAGTGTTCGTGATTTAGTTTTAATGTCACTGCGCAGTGTTATTAATGTTGAGATTCAAAACAACGAAAAATATATAATATAGTTCGTGACTGTATATAAAAGAAAGTAGGTCATTGGACGCCTTCCCGTAAGCAATAGCGGGCGTTCTATTGCCGGATAGATCAAATTTTGCTGTTCTATCGAATAGAACGGGGGGTCTATGTGTTTCTTATAGACCCCCCTAGGGAGGGGGGGGTCTATTCGATAGATATACTCTATCCATTTTCTATCCGTTGCAATGGAGAGAACACCTTGCTAGCGCGAAAAATAGTCCCAAAAGATGGCTTAACGATACCCAATTTGTATTAGGTACCGATTATAATCGATTAGATTTTTAGGAAATATATCAATCACCGTATGCTTACGGGAACCTTGTCTTTTCGAAAACCATCCTCTATTGCAATAGAACACGTTTAATAACTTACGGGAAGGCGTCTATTAATCACCTTCAACATTGATTTCGGGCGCCTTTGGTTACTAGGAAAGTCTTTTATTGGAG